ATAAATTATTTTATTGTAATACTTATAAATATTTTAAGATATCACAAAATATATTTTCATTAGAAAAGTTTACTTTCTTTATAAAAATCTTCTGTTTGGGTTGCTACAATATAAAAAAGATGTTTGAGACTCTAGAAAGAGTGCAGTTTACAACAAAGATTATTAGGGGTCTGGAAGCTAAAACATGGAGAACGGTTACAGGAATTGGACATGTCTAGTCTAATGAAAAAAATGGGCTGGGGGTGGACAAGATACCAGTGTTCCAATATTGGAGTGGCTGCCACAAAGAAGGGGGGGGTGTTAACCTTTTCTCCGAAGTACCTGAAGGCAGGACAAGAAGCAATGGATGGAAATTAATCAAGGAGAAAAGCAGCCTAGAAGTAAGGAGAAATTTCCTAACAGAACAATAAACCATTGGAATGGCTTACCCTCAGAGGTTGTGGGTGCTCCATCACTTTTAAGAAGAGACTGGGCAGCCACTTGTCTGGAATGACATAGGGTCTCCTGACTGAGCAGGGGGTTGAACTAGAAGAACTCCCAAGGTCCCTTTCAACTATTCTGTTATTCTGCTATAATCTACGACATTTCTCAAAAACTGTCTTTATACATATATGCTTACTAAGAACTCTCAGCTGAAAAATGGTTATTTGCAAGTTGATTTTCAACATGGGGTCCATTTCAATTGCCTAATTTGATGTATTTGATTAATTTACTTTGTTACTCATTTTTTAAAAATATTTTTTTAAAATCGTGAGCATTTTACCATGTAGCACTATTTCTGCAAGTTTTACCATACAGTTTCAATGTACCAAACCTTGACTAATGCATATACAAACTATTTTGTTAGGATCAGAAGGAACACATTTGTGATATAAACTGGTATAGCACTTTGTGGATATTTTCAGATATTAAGGATTCACCGGAGAGCATTTTCAAATAAGTTTTTAAGGAACCTGTGATAAATATATATGCTGAACCTTGGAACTGCAACGAAGGGAGGTGTTTTAACTTTTTCCTTTTCATGAAGGCACTGACAAAAATGGGTTCCCTCCCCAGCAGCTGTTTGTATCAAGAGAAAAGGTTTTGTTAGAATCAACAGAAACTTTTCTTTGGTGTGTAACTTTGATCGAGGAAGGTTTTCTTAGCAGCTATGATGAAGGGGAGGGTTAAACATCCCCAAATTATACCTTTTGACCGCAAAATTTGTTTAGATTCTAGGTAATAACAGCTACTGCTCATGATAATTGAATGTCCTGTCTAGCTATGTCCATTTGGGGAGAGAATAAGTTGTTGTATTTTTAATTTGGCAAAAATCATATAGAAGTAATCCTGAGCCTGATGTCATTGCTAAAGCTGTTGCTTCCTTTCTGTGAAATGTTCACTCTTCCTCAAGAGGCATGGTGGCTCAGTGGCTTAATGACACTGGAGATGGCATTTGCTCTGTAGTTCAAGCCCTAGCACTGTATGTTGGGGTGAGCTCCTGTCACTTGCCTCAACTTCTGCCCACCTAGCAGTTTGAAGGCATGTTCCATGAGACTAGTTAAATAGGTACCACTTCAGTGGGGAGATGAGCTGCTACTTTGGGCAGGTGGTCAGATTCCTGCCAGCTCTGAACCTTCCTGATTGCGACACTCATTTGCAAGGCAGCTCTAGTGGAGAGAGGAGGACACTGCAAAAAGAGCCTCTTGTCTTTTTCTCTGGTGTGAAGCTAGCTTGCTCTCCTGTGGCGCACCTTGGGAAACTTGCAAACATGTACCGCAACAGAGCTAGTTAATTGCCAGCCAAACTACTACTCTGCATTAGCATTGTGGTCTCCTGGCTATTGAAACAATGTCATACACTAATAATACTCTTCCTCGAGTATTCAACTCTTTGCGGAGTCCTTTTTGCTTCTCGAGCTTGGATGTTTGCTTGCAGGTGTTACATCACCAGACTAGGGCAACATCTTCAGTGACTGGATAACAAAATAGCACTGAAGATGTTACCTACTCTGATAACAAAACATTTGCAAATAAATAACCAAGACACCTAGGACTCCACAGGTCTCAACCCTGAGCATTATATTATATATATTATATTCTCTTCTATTGATTTAACTTTTTTGCTGCTATCTAATGGTTACTGTAGTCCTACTTACAGTGAATGATGAACCAGAAATTGCTTCTTGAGCTGCTACTTACAGCTGCCTAGGGCATTTTTGGGGAAGTCTGCCTGGTTCCGAAGAAACTGCCTCTTAACACATTGTGGGGGTATTCTTTAACTAAAGGGGCATTGCTGTTCCCCCTTAATCCTTTCTGGGTTACTTCAAGTAATAAGATGTTTCTGAGAAATGTGAAACTGCCAGATAGTTGATTATATAGCAAGCATGTGAATGTTGTGTTACAACTGTTTTAACAGATTAAGAATTCATTTTGAGCCCAGACTCAATTAAAAATGATACTAAGTAGTTTGAAAGCAAGTTAGCTAAAATGTATTTTTCCCAATGTGCCTGCTAAACTATTGATAGGCCCATTTCTCATTCTGCCAGTTTTTGAAGTGCTTCTGGTGGGAACAAAAAGTTATTTTTAACAGCAGCATTGAGATGTAAAAATCTTATCCTTCAGAGGTTTGTTTGATTCTTTTTCTTGATACTTTCGCTACCAAAATCATTTATAATTAAGTAGCTCTTTCATGTAAAATTAATCTGCTAGCTCCAGTGCTTGTAAATTTTGTTTTAGGTATGATTTGATGGGTATGGGTTTGAATACTGTGATTTTTATAGGTATGTGTTTTTATTTTATTTTCATTGTATTTTCAAAAGACTGAAAATATGTATAGCATTAGCAGGAACCCCGGTCACAAAAGCTGGAATGGCTAGAAGTGTAAAACTATAGGAAATTGTAGAAAACAGTAACTTTTAAAAATGGTCGACTATGTAAACATTCAGAAGCAACCAGACCTGCTCTTTCATGGGGAATAATCCCATCTGTATTGTTATTGATACAATTTTAAATCCTAAATATTTCTGAAACTTTGTCCTGCTTGGATTAAATTTAAGTTTATTTCCAGACTGTCTTAGCCACCAGAATTTCTACAGCATATCTAGTATAACCTGGGGTAACAATATATTCCTGAATATCATGAATGTATTGATATCTCACCCCAAACCAGCAGCTTTGTATGGATAACAGACAGACAGACAGACAGATAGACAGATAATCAGAGTTGGAAGGGACCTTGTAGGTCATCTAGTCCAACCCCCCGCCCAAGCAGGAGACCCCACACCATTTCTGACAAATGGCAGTCCAATCTCTTCTTGAAAGTCTCAAGTGATGGCGCTCCCACAACTTCCGAGGGCAAGCTGTTCCATTGGTTGATTGTTCTCACTGTCAGAAAGTTTCTCCTTATTTCCAGGTTAAATCTCTCCTTTTTCAGTTTCCATCCATTATTCCTTGTCTGGCCTACAGGTGCTTTGGAAAAGAGCTTGACCCCTTCCTCCCTGTGGCAGCCCCTTAAATATTGGAAGTCTGCTATCATGTCTCCCCTGGTCCTTCTCTTTACTAGACTAGCCAAGCCCAGTTCCTGCAACCGTTCATTGTATGTTTTAGTCTCCAGTCCCCTAATCATCCTGGTTGCTCTTCTCTGTACTTTTTCTAGAGTCTCAACATCTTTTTTATAATGTGGTGAACAAAACTGGATGCAGTACTCTAGGTGTGGTCTTACTAAGGCTTTATAGAGTGGTATTAGTACTTCCCTTGATCTTGATTGTATCCCTCTGTTAATACAATTTAGGATTGCATTAGCTTTTTTGGCAGCTGCTGCACACTGCTGGCTCATATTTAGCTGGTTGTCCACTAAGATTCCAAGATCCCTCTTACAGTTACTGCTATTGAGCCTGGTTTCACCCAGTCCATATGTGTACTTTTGGTTTTTCTTGCCTAAGTGTAGGACTTTACTTTTCTCTACATTGAATTTCATTTTGTTAGATACGACCCAGTGTTCTAGTCTGTCAAGATCCATCTGGATCTTGAGCCTATCTTCTTGGGTATTAGCTATTCCTGCCAGCTTAGTATCATCTGCACATTTGGTAAGTTCCCCTTCTATTCCCTCATCTAAGTCGTTTAATGAAGATATTGAAGAGTACTGGGCCTAAGACGGAACTTATTTCTATGTTAAATAGAAATGGAGGAGGATCTGAATTCTTTACATAGAAATGGGAAAGGACTTAAATTCTTTACAATGCCCATAGACTTGAGCTCTTTTCCTTCCTCATAGTAAGTGTGGAACTATTGCAAAATTGTGCCTCTGGCTCTTAACTCCCATTAAACAATCCGCTAGAATACTATGATCAGTGGAGCCAAAAGCTGCGAGAGTTAAATAGATCTAGCAGTAAGGGAAAATTCCCATTCTCCATGTGACATTGTAGGACATCTACCAGAGTAAACAATGCTGATTCCATCTCATGCTTGAGCCTGAATCCAGTCAGAAAAGAATTCAGATAATCTGTTTCATTTAAGATAATGTACAGCTCAGCCACCACTAAAAAATTTTTTTCTACAAACTTCCATAAGAAGAAAAAGTTGGTTGATGACTATCATGCAAGGCTGGATCACGGTATGACTTTTTCAAGAGAGGTCACTCCACTGCTCCTTTTAAGGCCAATAGCAACACACTCTCACTTCAGAGGAGACTTAACTATCTCTGAAATCTAGCCACCAATGATGCCCCCCCCCCTTAATGTTAAAAAAAGATAGAAAAATCATGGATGCAGCTCATAGATGGTGGTGTTCATATTACAGAAAACACAATCTATTTTTGGGTGTCTACAAGCTCAACACAAAATCCCAGATAGCTTTGCAAGATGCATGTGCACACAAGATGTGTCCATATTATTTGTACTCAGCTGAGTAAGATCAAAATCAGACAAATTTATATGGGGAATTTGATAAAACAATAAAAGTTTTTCTTATGCATATTTTTGTCTCCATTTCTGCCCTCACATTCTTCTCTTCTTTTTTTAGGCTGTGCATCTAGCTCAGGCAAGTTTCCAAATTGAAGCTTTTGGTTCTGCATTTATTCTTGACCTCTCCCTGAACAAGTAAGTGTATATCTATGGTTCTGAATTATTTTGTTCAGTATAGCAGATCTTTTAATTAAAATAAATATTTTAATGAAAGGAAAATTCATAAAGCATACTAATTTCCAAGGAAAATGTTGTCAAACTGTAAACATACAGTCAGGGCTCCCATCTGACTGTAAACAAGGTTGTTAGCAGGGGTGTTCTCCCATGCAAATAGTACAAGTTGCATCCCAGTTGGATGGTAAGTCGGCATTATAAATGAGAGACAGAAGTGACCCAAAACATTACAGAACCTTACTAAAGCCTTACTGGAATTGTGGCTAAAATATTTGCCAACATTTTTGAGCAAAATAGAAGACTGAGTAATGTAAAAGAAAATCTCTTAATGAAGAAACAAACTGGATTTAGACCAGAGCACTCCACAATAGGTAATTGATTTATTTTATATCACCTTGCAACAAAACAACTGACTAGTGGCAAGAAACTGTTTACCACTTTTATAGGTCTCAATGTGAGTTTGGTTCTATGAACAGAAACATTTTGTGGAAGAAATTGGCCAAAGTAAATATGGAACTCTTGGTTACTCTTGGTTAAGGCCCTCGACTCAAAAATCCAGTTGAAATCTCTACGGATGTTAGAGGCTCTCTAAGAGTATACCTGCAGATAAGGGTGTTAGACAGAATTGTTTTCTATCCCCAATGCTTTTTAGCCTCCCTGTCCATGATGGCGAACCTATGGCACACGTGCCAGAGGTGGCACGCAGAGCACTCTCTGTGGGCAAGCAAGCCGTTGCCCCAGCTTAGCTCCTTTGCGCATGCATGCGCATGCCTCCCGCCAGCCAGCTGGTCTTCAGGTCTCTGCCACGCATGTGTGGGGGGCAGGGCACATGTGCAGAGATCATGCATGCATGCGCAGGGGCAAGGTGCATGCATGGGAGTTGTGTGTGCATGCACGAGGACACAGGGTGGGGCACATGCACGGGGGGCATGCTCGTATTGCATTTTGAGGATGTGGCGAGTGCGCTTTGACACTTGGTGCCGAAAAGGTTAGCCATCACTGCTCTATGTCAACGATGTTCCAAGATTCCTATATGCTTCAGACATTTATATGCCAAAGATCCATGATTAATAAATTTATATAGTACTAATGCCTAACTCTGAAATAGGCCCACTGTGAAAGCTAAATTCCTACTGTTTTCTTAATTCTTTAAACATCAATAATATCAAATAAAACTTGACAATATTTATCAAACAAAGTGTGAAGTTTAACTGGCAGATAATTGAGAAGCCTATTGATCAAGTGAATTTTTTTACTTGCTTAGGAGTGGTTTTTACCAACACAGGACAGGATTGTGGGTAAATCATTTTAAAAGAAGCTCAGCAAGGGCTGAGAAAAATACTAAATGATTATATAAATTATGTAATTACAATTACCCAGGGAGGGGCCCCTAAAGAGAGATTGGGAAACCAATCTTGTTCACCCCCCAGAGGGCAAAAGAGTTGTTGCAAGCCCTGTGCTAATCCTCATTGAATGGCAGAAGAGACTACTAGGGAAATGTCAGAGGAACCACTTCCTGAGTGGGCTTCTCCAGGACGTAGGCCAGCAGCAGTGGGGGTGAAGGTAGCTTTGGGCCTATGTCTAATAGCAATAGCACTTAGACTTATATACCACTTTATAGTGCTTTACAGCTGTCTCTAAGCTGTTTACAGAGTCAGCATATTGCCCCCAACAATTTGGATCTTCATTTTACCCAGCTCGGAAGGATGGAAGGCTGAGTCAACCTTGAGCCTGGTGGGATTTGAACTGCCAAATTGTAGACAGCTGGCTGCAGCAGAAGTAGCTTGCAGTACTGCACTCTAACCACTGCACCACGGAGGCTCCTAATGCTACCCTGAGTGGTCTGGTTGGGAAGTGGAATTGTAGGGGCCTGAAGAAAATGGGGTCCTGATTTGCTAAGGTCTCTGTTACCATAGGAGACCAGGTTTGGGTATAGGAGAAGGAAGAAGAGTGGACTCCCTCTTCCCTGGGCCCCACAATTTGGCCAACCTGTGCTTCCATTGGAAGGGAAGCCTGCTACAAACGTCCCCTCACTTGGTCCAAAGTTTTAGCAAACTGCCTCTCGAGCACAGCATGCCTCCTTTTTTTAGCCTTTAGTTCAGCTTGGGAAACTTTCTTTGGAGCGAAAGCTTTGGCTCTGATTTTTGCCATTGCTTCCCTTTGAGCTGACTGGCCATGCTGCCTCTTCCTTCCTTTCTTTTTTTCTTCTTCTGGGCCACGGGTGTGTGTGCCTCTAATTCAGAGGCTTCTGTCTGCTTGAAGGCCTCCATGTTCAAACCAGGGATACACAAGAGGTGCTGAAAGCAGCCCTCAATATGTGTCCCCTGATCTCACTGGGATAGTTCTTGTTGAGGTAATTCCCCGTTAGGAGAATGAGCGCACACAGCTCCCCTGATCTGGAACATACGCTTTGGTCTTAGGACAGCATTCCTAGCACTTTCTCAACAATGAGCATGAGCTCACTGAATTATTCTAAAACCAAACTTGAAGTGTTTGCCAGAAGACCAAAGAGCTATTCCTATACAGTATTAAGGTTCATTATAATTAAGCATGAGATGTCATGCCTCAAGCTGATGAAGGGCACATGGCTGTTCTGTTGCTCAGAGTGCCCAAAAGAGCTCAGTTCAGAGGTGAAAGGGAGTTGCATTCTAGCAACGCTTAAGTAATTTCAAGCTGAATCTTTGTCCCAGATCACTTATGAACAATTTTCTTGGACAATTTCTAGCTTTGCCTCCATAGAATGAGTCCAGTCCAAATTCTCCAGGGTGTCATTTTAGGTGCCATGTTGTGTTTCTAATGAATCTCTATGCCTTAAATCAGGTGTGATGAAGGTAGAGGTATCTAATGGCATGGTCCTGAATACACTGATTTTGTACTGTATTTCTCATTATATTATTTCCTTATCTTTTGTTTTTTTTTGGTCTTTGGCAGTAATAAAATTGAAGTTCAAGTTGAAATTGGGACAATTGTGCAAATGTTTAAAAGTATGCTGTTTTAAGCTATTTGTCATTTCTAAATTATTGCTTTGTTATGCAAACCATTAAAGAGGCCACCGGTTGCCAGCCTATGTATTGAATTATGTTTTATGAATTTTCTTGAGCAGTGCAAAAAAGAAATGTAAGAGATAAATGCTATGTATGTATAAAACTAAATAACATTGGTTTCAGGCCCATTTTTTGTGATGCAGGCATGCCTCTGAGGCAGTCGCAAAAATAAGTTTTTTAGGCAATTTTTGGAAGTGTTTTGCCTTTGTCTTCTTTCTAAATTGGGGGGGGGGGGGCTGGTCCAAAATCATCCAGCTGGCTTTGTGCTTACAGCGGGACTAGAACTCACAGTTTCCATGTACCTAACCACTTAAACTTAATATGCAATACTTAAGTCCAGATTTGCAGTTATAATACCTCATCAGGACTTTGCTATTCTTTGTTATTCTTTATTCACAATTAATAAAGTCAGCTTTATATAGCAGATTATACTGACACATTTTCCTTTGCTTCTTTGTAGTGACTTATTATCTGCTGATTATGTGGAAATTCATTATGAAGATGACAAACCACAATATTCAAAGGTAGTGTAGTCACTTTTCTTGTGTTTGATAATGTTAGCATATCTCATATATTTATTTTTTGTTAAATTTTTTCGAAGTGTGAAATGTGCATTTTGTCTACTAATGTCTGTGACATTTGATATGCTGTCTCTTTGCTATGATAGGGTAGTAGGACAAGTTTAATAAGTTTTTATTAAAATTAGGCTTTGAAGTCACAGCCTGCTTAGTTTAAAACACTGTATTGCTTGTTGCTGTTTGGTCACTAAGTCGTGTCTGATTCTTCATGACCCCATGGACCACATCATGTCAGCTCCCCATCCTCCATTATCTCCTGTCATCCCCGTCTCCTTTTGCCTTCAATCTTTCCCAACATCAAGATCTTTTCTAATTAATCCTCTCTTCTCATTCTGACCAGCTATACTCTGTCTGGTCAAAATTGAACAGAATCAGGTCTCTTACTGGAAGAAGTGCCTCTGCCCTGTGTCAGTGGGGATGGAAAGATCCACCTTGTTGCAATTGTGGTGCTGATATGCAAACTGTTAAACATATTATGCAAGATTGCCCATGATGTGCGTTCTCTGGTGAAGCAGCCTCAGAGGTCATTACCTGGAAGCTGAATTGGACATCCAGTTATGAGGCTACTGCCTTACCCCAAAACAAGTTTTACTATAATTACATGGATTGTGTACATATGTTTATTTCTGTTCTACATATTCTCATCATATGCTATGTAATAATAATAATAATAATAATAATTGTCCAAAGTATTTGATTTTCAGCTTCAGTATCTGTCCTTCCAAAGAACAGAGTTGATTTCCTTTAGGATTGACTGATTAAACTATTGTTTAATGTTTTTTACATATAAAATATTAAGACATTTTAAAAAACTATTTTTTTTATTTAAAAAAAAAAACAGAAAACAGAAACTATCCAAAGGATTTCATGTGGAAAACAGGCAAAATGCTGAATATTATTAGTCCCATTTTGTTGCTTTAAATTCAGCTTCAGTTTCATCATTACCAAACAGCTTATTATTCTGACAAGGAATGTAAATATTATCAACTATAAGCAATGTGCTAGGCAAATGCAAATTGCTAAATAAAAGTAACTTTTGGGGGTTTTCAAAAAGCTATATTATTACAGCTATGTCATCAGACATTAAACTGGGATACTTAAAATTAATTTTTACTGTGTTGTAGTAATGTACTGTGTTGATATATACATTTATGGAATGAGGCAAATGTTGGTCTTTAATGTCTACTTTTGGCTTCCACCTCCATAGAAAAAGCATGTCTGCACAGGCCATGTCATTGTTACCTGATACCATAGATATTCATTTAAGAGAATTCTACATTGAAGTAACCTGGATGCTATATTTTATCTGTGCTGGTGGAAGAGAGGGTAGAGAAAATAGTTTTGAATTTTGCTTCATGTAAAATGTTCATTGGTTGTGCGAAACATTAATTGATGTTTCAAATATGGATTGTGGCTTAATTGGAAGTATAATATTTGGATTGGCTTTAAAAAAACTTCCAAATAGAAATCCTGTTAAATCCTGTTTTTATTGACAACTAAGAAACTCCTGCATTATCAACAGTATTTGAGACACATTTAGAGGCTAAAGTTTCACTAGAAATAATAAATGGGACATTTTTTTTACATATAGCAGTAACTTGACCTAGATTTCTCTAAACATTTTTCAGGATTAGTCATTTGTAAATAGTGAGGGAAGTCTTGAGATTACATACCACTTTGCTGATATAATTACTAATTATATAATTTCTCAGGAGAAATAGTGAATTCATTATCCAGGAGATTAAATATAGGACACTTCTACCATGTTTAGAAAATGGATTTTAATTTTGTTTTATGCCGTAAAAAGAGCTGCTATTTTGCTATTTTGTATTTTTTATGAATATGCTATTTGATGACTTGAAACTGAGGTGAAATTTGAATATCTTTGCAAGCATGGGATCACAAAATAGACAAAGTAATAAAGAACAAAAAAGCTAAATTTCTCTGGGGCTTCAGAATTGAAACAGAAAAGCATTTGTGTTCATGTGACTGGGTGGGCGCAGCTTGGTGGTCACGTGACTAGCTGGACATAGTTTGTATGTAAACATTGTAAATATTTATATAAATATGTAATGTTTTATTTGTTTTAAAAAGCAACTTTTACCCAAAAGCAGGCAAAGCAGACAGGCAGATTGAGTTATTCACAGAATCACAGATTCACTCAGATTCACCTTTCTGCCATCTGCTAGCTGAGTCTGCCCTGAAAAAAATAGAAGCTTCAGTCCTAAGGAAGGTTCAGTTCTGCTTTTAGATTAGCTAGAAAGCAAGAAATCCAATGGTTTCCTGCTTCCTAGCTAATCTAAATCTCCCGGCACAGCAGAACAGCAGATGGCTGGTGTGAAAAAAAGGGAAAAATAGCAACTTAGCAGGCAAGTTTGATGGCGCGCATGCCAGGTAAGGAGTGAGTGGGCGGGGTGGGGCCAGCCAGTGGTGCAATTTGCCAGTTCTCCAAACTGGGCAGAATCATAACAACCGGTTTTATAGAACCGGTCTGACCAGGTAGAATCCCACCCCTGATAAATCCTGCAATGATACCAGATTCTCTGAAAGTACTTGATAGGTGGACAAAAATGCCAAAACCAATCTAAAAATAGGTCCATAATTATATTGTCCATTAAAATAATGGTAGATAACTGGGGAATTATTTAGGAGCAATTAAAAATCAGTTTAATAACAAATCTTAAATCCATCTTAACAGTTTGCATTGTAATTCTTTGTCTAGTTGATAATAGGTCTGCCCATATCCAATTGGGTAGGCTTCGCTCTTTCTTGAAAATTACACTTTTAATTTATTTAGTAAACTACTTTTTTATTTTTTGCAGTGTATACTAAAGCTGTATTAAAAACGAAATCACACAAGCTTTTCACTTATGTTTTATTGTCGTATACAGGCTTAAACTATGAATCCATTATTCTGATATGCATTGGATCACTTAAAAAGTAATTATAAAAACATAGATTTTTTTTGTATATTTTCAGGGAGGGGAACACTGCTATTATCATGGAAGCATCAGAGGCATCCCAAAATCCAAAGCTGCTGTTTCTACTTGTAATGGACTTCAGTAAGTATAATTACTAATAAATATCTCATTATATTGCTACTCTGTATCCTTCGTATTAGGCAGTTTTCCACAGTCTGTGTTTTGAACAGACATGTCCCAGCAACTGAAAATATGACTTTTTTTCATCCCTTCTTCTCCATCATGGACGCCATGGGCAGAAAGCCTTCTTCCATCATTAGTCATCATTTTTCTTATGACTGCAAGTGACCAGTAACCCAGTGTAATTGGATAACAGCTAACTATTTGCTAATATGCAAATTTTAGGGAATTTCGGGGGGACGACATTGTTGGTATAATTAAAGCATTAAGAGAAAAAGAAGATATTAGAGTGAAAGAAATGCTGATAAATAGAGAATATGTCTGGGACTTCTGGAAAGGCTTCTAGAGTGAGGTTGTTGAATGAGACTATAATTTGATACAGGAAAGTATAAATCAATCGAACTCTAATAAATATGCTTACTTAGATTTTGGGTGGCTATTGGGCAGCTGTGATAGCGAGTTATTACTATCAATTTTCTTAGCTATGCAGATAATTGGACAGAAATGAAAACATACAGAATGCTCAATCTAGTGGTTTCCCCATAACAATGAGGTCTGGGAGATATTTAGAGGATATTGGCAATTTGGAATACAGTGCTCTATCATCTCTCTCTGTCCTATCTATATCTATCTAGATCTATCTACAGTCTGTCTATCTATCTATCTATCTATCTATCTATCTATCTATCTATCTATCTATCTATCTAATTCCAGTTATTCTGTGTAAATATTTTCCCATGTACTCATGTACATTTGACATTCCCTGTCACACTTTCTCAACTCTATCTGCTTCACAGGATTGTTGCTCAGTGAGTGAGTGCTATGCACCGAAAAGGTGGGCATAAGTCTACTAAATTGGGGCTGTGGTGACTCACAGGGCTAGGATGCTGAGAAGAAGTTTTAGAGGTCAACAGCTCCGCTGTTCAAAACTCGAGAGTGAGACGCTTGATGGAATGAGCTCCCATCAATTTGTCCCAGCTCCTGCCCATCTAGCAGTTTGAAAGCATGCAAATACGAGTAGATAAATAAGTACCACTTCAGTGGGAGAATAAAAGGGATATGAGTCTCCTCTGGTATCCCTTGGGAATGGTGATGTCACAGGCTTCAACCCAGAAATGCCTTGGTCTATGCTTCTTACCAAGTGTTAGAACAAACTTAGCAATGGCAAGAGTTATGCTGGCCTCCTTATCTATTAGTAAATGTTACATAATAAAATTATTCAATCTATCCCGGAAATGAAGAACTGTTAGGAGCTCTTTGCATATATTTCAATAGAAAATTACAGTATAAAGGTATATCAGCTTGTGTTTCAGTGTTACCATCTTTACATGGACGGAGCCTTCTGCATATGAAATTTCCCCTCCAGCTCTGCCGATAGTATAATACAACATAATAATGTAAATGCACACCAACATTTATTGTTTGTAAGTTGGTCTACATACAATGCTGCTTTGAAGTGTGCATTGCTATGGCCCAGTTATACTCTAGGTGAGAGTTTCCTATATTCTGTTTCTAATGGTATATCAAGGATTTTTTGCTTAAGAACCCATTGCCTGATCTTGTCAGGGCATGAATATTTACTTTGAAAATCCCAAAATAAACCTTTAACCAATTTGCTTATTTCTGTCATTTCATGTTTTCTGATTGGATATTTTAGATATTTGGTTTTTTTCCCAAGGCAACTCATAGTAAATAAAAAAAAAAACCTAAGCAGCCTCTGCTGTCAAGATTTTTGTTTTTTTTAAAAGAGACAAGACATAGAAAAGGGAAATAGAGCTAAAAGTTAGAGTAAGAACTAGAACTGAATGGAAAGTGATGGATATAATTTCAGTCCAAGCCAAGCTGCTTTTCCTTTGGTAATGTTTATTCTTATTTGAGTAGCAATTGATATATCTTCTTTCTTCATTGATGGATGGCTGATTAGTCCCTATCTATCTACTAAAAACCCAGTCTTCCTGCCCCTAGTTCTGAGTCCCTGAGCAACTGCCAAGAGGAATTGATGTGTAGGAAGTGGAAAAACAAATTCCCTTTGGCCTTCTTCTTTGGCCAGATTAATTTCCTTCATAGCCTATTGCTCTTTTTCTGAAGGAGATGACAAGAACTGCAATATTCATTCATCACCAACCAGTTGGTGCCTTTGTAATAAGGAGAACATAAAGGATTTCATAGATCAAAGAGACCCCATGATGTGTTCAGCAACACAGCAAGCAGGTTGATTCTACTTACAAACTCAGATTTATAAATAGAACATCTCATAATTTCAAGCTAGCACACAAACAAAATTCTAAATAGGATATTTGTCATATTGAACTCTTCTCTCATTATAAATCTAGGACTATGTGTGGATTTTATTCCAAAATGGTACTTTGGAGCAGACAATGATTGGACCCAGGTTGCATTCACACACACACACACACACATTGTTTTATGTGTTTTTTGGAACTATTTGAAACAATGCACAACCAATGCACATTCCAACCAATGCACAACCAATGCACATTCATGAGTCTCTCATGCACACATTCAAAAATGCTTTATCCTCCCTTTGTCATGATGTTGTCATGATGTTTTTATTTTGTGTGGAATACATGAATATATAGTCTGAAAATGTGTAGGAGTTCTTACAAATATATGCTCCCATTTATTTAATATTGAAGTATTTTAAATGTGTTCTTATATTCTAGTGGCATGTTTGAAGACGATACTCATGTCTACCTGATAGAACCTTTGGAGTTAACTCACAGCATGGTATGTTAATACTGACCCACCTAGTTCTTGCTTTGATTTGTTGTAAAGGATGCAAATCCTAACAAATATAAATTAAATAAGGCATTATTATTTAGTCTGAAATATCATCTATAATAGGGGTCGCCAACCTTTTGGACCTCAGGGACCACCAAACTCAAAATTTTAAATCCCGGGGACCACTAATATGAATTTTGACTGAGTGGCTTGCTGACTGGTGGGAGAGAGAGAGATATCTGATCTAACCTCTCCCTCTCTCCCCCTCCCTCCCTTTCTCTCTCTCCCCCCCCCTCACTCTCTCACTCTCTCTCTCTCTCTCACACACACACACACAAACACAGAGATTTCTTAACAACCGGTTCTGTAATTTCTTAACAACCGGTTCTGTGGGCATGGCCTAATTTGTGGGTGTGGCTTGGTGGTCATGTGACTGGCTGGGCATGGCTTGTATGTAAATATTATAAATATTTATATAAATATTGAATTTTTTATTAAAAAGAGCAACTTTTACCCAAAATCAGGCAAAGCAGGCAGGCAGATTGAGTTGCTCACAGAATCACAGATTCATTCAGAGATCTGTGAGATCAGTTACCTGAGCCTGTCACATAAAATTTGCTTGCAAGCAAACCCATAAAATTTGCTAGCAAGAAAACTCACAAAATTAACTCACAACACACCATGTATGTAAATATTGATTTTTTAAATAAAAAACAGAGCAACTTTTACCCAAAATCAGGCAGACAGATTAAGTTGCTCACAGAATCATAGATTTGTTCAGAAATCTATCTTTCTGCCATTGGCTAGCTGAGTCTGTCACATAAAATTTACTTGCAAGCAAACTCACAAAATTAACTCACAATACACCATGTATGTAACTATTGAATTTTTTATAAAAAAAGAGAGCAACTTTACCCAAAATCAGACAGAGCAGACAGGCAGATTGAGTTTCTCACAGAATCACAGATTCACTTAGAGATCTGTGTTTCTGCCATTAAAAGCAGAGCCGAAGATCTAAAGATTAGCTAGAAAGCAAGAAATCCAACGATTTCCTACTTTCTAGCTAATCTAAATCTCCCAGCATAGCAGAACAGCTGATGGTCAGAAAAAGAAAGAACAGCAACTTTGCAGGCATGTTTGCCAGGTAAGGAGTGAGTGGGCGGGGAGGGCAGGCCATGTGGGTGGTGTAGCCTTGTGTTCTTGCGCAGCCTGGATTAATTGCTTTGGGGGGTGCTCTGGGGGGTGACATTTCTCTGCGGATCACCAACATTTTCTTGCGGACCACCAGTGGGCCGCAGCCCACCGGTTGGTGACCGCTGATCTATAACACTGAATTTGAATGAATATTTTTACTATTTTTTATACCCTTTGTTTGATATATTTTGTAATTTTTTAGAAATATAACTGTAGCTGAATATGTTACTAAAACAAGGTTAACCTGAATGTTAAATACACTCACACCACTCCTATAATAATGACATAATATTCAGGTGAGCTCAGTGCCATGTAAAGCATTTGGGTTGCGAACATGAAATCTAAGGACAAACCAGCAAAACTACGTAAATTTAATTTTATTTATTTTATCAATTGTTATGGCCATCCAACTTTGGGTAGCTAACATTTTGAAAAGCAAAAGCAAAAATAACCAACAAAAATTAAAAAAACAAACCAGTAGAACTGAGGCCAAACCAGAGTCGAGTCATATTCACATAAATCATTGGAAGGCAGGCTGATCCAATGCACAGCCTTTGGGAGGAGCCAGGTTTTCAAAGGTGTACAAAAAGACAACAAGGCCAGACCATCTTCATCTTAGGGAGGGATGTGATACTATTCCAAAGGGCAGGCAAAATTAGAGAGAAGGCACACCTCCAGGAGTCCCCCAGATGGCCTTGGGGGAACTTGAAACATGCCCACTCTTTCAGGGATAGAAAGAAGATAAGCAATTCACAAATAAAGCCATAACAAGGGAATGGATTGCATAAGAGGATATATTTAACTAGTTTATTTGTGTATAAAATATTTATGTTATATGGTTGAGTTGAATATAGCATTTCTGAAGTTTTTTTTGGGGGGGGGGGGGTTAATGGGCCACATGACCTCTTTTCATGCTTGGCTTTGGGATAGAATCCTGACTAGGATTTGAAATTCTGGTCATTGTTACATAAGCAGTAGAATCTTGAAAGGTCCCCAAACCAGTTTTTTCCCCATCCTCAGAGCCTCCAGGAATGTTTCCAAAGCCTAATTTCCCATTGTTTGCAGAAAATAATAGTGAAATGAAATGGAATATGAAATGAAAATGGCTTATTTTAGGCTTAGACATTAAAAACAAAATTAATTGAGCTTGTTCAATTAATTGTCTATTTTGGTTTGATGTTCACCAAATCATTAATATATTAATTATTAATTATTCACTCTGAAGTGAAGAGACTGTTCATTGGCAATTTTGGTGGGGCTTTTTCTGGAAAAGCATTCTAGATGTTTCTTTCTTTTTCTCCACCTGGGAAACTAATTTCTTAGTTTTTGCTTGAGATAATTTAGAAAATTGCAGAACTGTTGGGCTTTTCTGCCACAGTGAATAATCTTGACCTCCTCCTCCTAGACTTCTTTCTAGAGATGTGTTCTAGTTCCAAAAATAACAGCAGATGCTAAAAATAACATAGCCTTTAAGAGCATCAAGGTAAGCTTTCACTATGATTTTCTTTAGTTATATAGAATATAGAAGCTTATTCACTAATGGAGGATTTTCCCGTGGGGGTAGATGCATGACAGAAGCAGGGTTATTTTCTCTCTCTCATCATTATTATGCCATGTTGGTAGCCTATGGATTATTACAGGATGCTTTGCTTATCTTTCTAGGAGACAGAAGAATAAAGACATAAAGAAGACTGCAGCAAAAACTTCCTATTAAAAGAGTGCTTCAATACATATGATGGCAAAGGATAGCATACATTGATAAGGGGTTAGGGAGTTATCATTGTATATCTAAATAACAACTTCAGTATTCCAAGTGCTGGTACATACATGACTAGAACAACTGTAGGAAAGATGTATAACATTGCTTTATAGAATTCCAAAGGTTCTCAGAACTTTTCCTTTAACAGCCCATTACAGCCATTTGTTTGTTACTGAATGCTAATATATTGTTAGAGATAAGGGGTGTTTAATTATTTGAACTAGGTAACATCATCAATGCACTGATGATGTTATGTAGTTCAGTTAATGAAATGTCTTCAAGAAAACAGCCAAGCTCAGAGAGCATCAAGACCCCTCATTTCAACTCTGAGCTACAAATATTCTCATTGACTGATTGTTAGAGAATTAAATATGGAAAACTATTTTAAAGGCATGGAATTATAGTTTTAAGTTCCAATTGGAATTGACTTAGATTCCCCTTTATATATTTTTATATAGCATTAGAAGACTGAGGACGCCTCCAAAAACAACATACAAAAACTCAGTAGAAAATATGGTCAAGGTCCACCCAAATAATAGCTAACCAGTAGGAGAGGAATTCAGTCCAGTTGCATTCCTGGTGAACATCTAAAGAGAAATATTCCACAATTTAATTTGTATCATTCAAAAATACAATTTCAGGTTTCTACGTATACAGGCTAAATTATCTAGCCCGTATTACATATATAAAGATATTGAATACACACACCCACATACACACCCACATACACACACCACATACACACACCACACATACTTATGGATAAGTCAAGAATGTTCGGTTCCAAAATACATCCCTGAAACAGAGTGCAGCTTATCCATTATATCTGTCTGTGTCTGTCTACCATCCATCTATTTATTCGTCTGTTTTCCATCTACATGATAATATCATACTTAAATTTATGTCACCAATACAATATTCTATTTGGTTTTTCTTCTTCTTTTTCTTCTTCAGAGCAATGCAGGTAGACCACATGTCATTCGGAGAACATTTGGATCAAATGCCTTCAGTCAGTTGGAAGATCTTGGTATGACATAACTGTACCTTAGTAAGATTTGTTACTATAACTCTGTTAATCTGTAAATAATTTAAATGGCACTTCTACCAGAGGAATGATTAGTATAGTGAACAGAAATTTACCTAGTAGTATGTCATGATATACCAGAAACTTTCTAAGTTTCCATGTAAAATTAGATAATCAGTGTAATTATTGTTGTGAACAGCCACTTTTCTAGATTCTTTGTGTCAAGCTTATAGTTAGATATATTAGAAAGCTCTTTACTCTGCTATATCATTGAAATTGTGTGGCCAACTTATGCCATGATATGTTATTGAAGATTAACTCTCTGAGTGAGTTGTCCTCTATACAATGAAATACAATGAGCAAACTCCACATATATCAAACTGAGTCTTAAAATCTTTTTATTGAAGAACAGTAAGGAGCTAGTTCATAATCAAGACTGACGTTTTTTTCTGTAAAATTAGACTGCAAAATACTGTAAACAGCACATTTTCCAAATAAGAATGTATCTAGTAAGGTATATATAAAATTGGCCTTATTTTTTTTTGCTCAATTGCTCCCATATTTTGGAGCAACTGTAATTTGTATACAACCTTTAGAATAATCCCTGTGTTTACAATGAAATTCTTTTTACAAGAAAGGAAATAGTTAATTTATCAATCCATAATCATCATATTACATGTTGCTGGTAATTGCTTTCACTGGAATATGCAGGAGGTTTGAAATGGGAAGTGTTTTAAATTCATTTTTTCTAGAAGGATGATTTTATGCAGAACAAATACTCTCAGAAGACATCAGAGATAGGATTGACACTGTGAATAATTTGAATAACAGTTTATCATCCCATCATTATCAACTCAGGCATTTGGAGACGAACTTTCATTTATGTGAATAAAGTTGAGGACTGAATACTAAACTGGGTTTAAAGTAGCTTGAACATGTTTGGCTAAAATTAGCAGATCTAAAGTTTTACCAATATAAGGGGAAAGGGCCAATATGTTTCATTAGATAAAGGTGCAGATGCTATGTGGTAAAATAGAAAATTCTTTGCTATTAATCTCTAGATACTGATTCCACATCGGATTGGTCCTTCCTGACTGAATTGCAGTGGCTAAGAAGGAAAAGAAGGGCTGTGAGTATTACGACGTCAGTAATACTGCATCAGATCAAAAGATCTCTCTGCTTTTAAAAGACATGGGAAAACATGTGAAATGTAGCACTGTGTTAAACCTTAGCTTTCATGCTGAAGTGATTTGCACTGCAGGAGATCATTTATTTCACCTCATAATTTTTGTGATGGCACAGGGTGGGATACAAAACAAACACAGTCACAGAAAACAGGTGAAGCCCCTTTTATTCCTTCACTTTGCTTCCAAGCTCCGAACATCTTTGACGGAAGACAAAAAACTCCCACATAAGCAGTTACACGAAGAAGGAAAAAAGCAACACAAAACAGGCAAGATAAGGGCTGGAAGATGTCCACAGAAAACACACACTGGGAAGGACGCCAAACTCAGAGAGGAACTTTAAACGAGAGATATTTACAGGCTTTTTGCTGCTGTTTATGTAACATGGCTTTAAATACTAACAAAACATAAACCTTTTTGAAGAAAATTAATATTTAGAAACAAAGATTTACAGTATTGAAAATGAAATCTCTAAATACTGTCATTCAAAGAATGAATGGTTTGAATTTTTATGAATGCAAATAGATTGTTACGCACAATCCATTTCTGCAACTGATGAGAAGTTCAAGAGAATTTAGCTTTCTTTCCATCAGTAAGAATTCATATGTAGCATTTTGTGATATTCATTTGCAAATATATAGATCCTGTACTTCTGGTCAGGGATTCCAAAGTCTATATGTATTTTGAAAAAGAAAGCCAGTATCACAAAGTACAATGACAAACAAACAAACGAAGTTTACAACTTGATCATATTCCCAACCTTCTTGGGAAGGCTACAGCCAATGGATTGCATACATTTTTTTAACTTTGTGTAATATGGACTCTGAATGGCTCAGAGAGGAACAAATCAGAATTGACAGTTATAAATATTCCTGTACCAAAGAAATGGGGAAACATCATATCAAACCTGAAAATATGTTATTTATTTATTTATTTATTAACATTTATCTATATACAGTGTATAAAAGCGAAATACCACTCAGGCATCATCACAAAATCTCCAGAATTGTAAAGCCTACAAACTTGAAATTTGGCACGTATGTTCCTCTTGGCTTCTAGGTGCTCACTAAGAAAGAAATGACCATCAGAGCATTAGTATTTCCTATATTATTGTTAACACACTCTGATGCTAAGGAGTTCTACTCCCCCTCCCCACCTAAAAAGAAATCTCTTCAAAATGTAAAACACAAGCAGGGGGAAGGAGTTTCAGTTTTAGTTTCACAGCACCAAGCAGCTTTAGTACAGAACAGTTGAGCTAAGCCATGCCCAGGCTCCTTGCTGTCTTCTTCCTCACACAGCAAATACTGTTTCCGTTTCCAAACAGCCCTCAACTCTCTCACACACTGACAGGATGCAAGCCAGATGAATGTTGGTAGGCAGAGGCAGAATTCCCCCCCTTATTTTCTTCCCCAAAAACAAAACCCGACCACATAGTTTTGTAGTGAGGTATCAAGCTAGTTAATCAATATTAACTATTAGCAGAAAAAGATTCATACAACACTAAAGATGCAAAATCAGATTCTGCATAATTACAACAATATGGGTTGGTTATGCTTGTCCGAATCTTTGTTCATGTGCTGATTGTATAAGTTGTATGTTTATATAAGCTGACCTTTCTTGAACATACATGTGTAATAATGACAAAAGATATGAAGTTTCTCTGAGTCAGACCATGATTCTACAGGTGACACTCGAAAAATTAGAATATAATGCAAAAATTCATTTATTTCAGTAATGCAACTTAAAAGGTGAACCTAATATATGAGATAGACTCATTACATGCAAAGCAAGATAGTTCAAGCCATGATTTGTCATAATTGAGATTATTATGGCTGACAGCTCATGAAAACCCCAAATCCACAATCTCAGAAAATTAGAATATTGTGAAAAGGTTCAATATTCTAGGCTCAAAGTGTCCCACTCTAATCAGCTAATTAAGCCATAACACCTGCAAAGGGTTCCTGAGCCTTTAAATGGTCTCTTAGTCTGGTTCAATGAGAATCACAATCATGGGAAAGACTGCTGACCTGACAGTTGTGCAGAAAACCATCATTGACACCCTCCATAAGGAGGGAAAGCCTCAAAAGGTAATTGCAAAAGAAGTTGGATGTTCCCAAAGTGCTGTATCAGAACACATTAATAGAAAGTTATGTGGAAGGGAAAAGTGTGGAAGAAAAAGGTGCACAAGCAGCAGGGATGACCGCAGCCTGGAGAGGATTGTCAGGAAAAGGCCATTCAAAAGTGTTGGGGACTTTCACAAGGAGTGGACTGAGGCTGGAGTCAATGCATCAAGAGCCACCACACACAGACAGAGCCTGGACATGGGCTTCAAAATCTCGTATTCCTCTTGTCAAGCCGCTCCTGAACAACAAACAATGTCAGAAGCGTCTTACCTGAGCTAAAGAAAAAGAGAACTGGCTTGTTGCTCAGTGGTCCAAAGTCCTCTTTTCTGATGAGAGCAATTTTTGCATCTCATTTGGAAACCAAGGACCCAGAATCTGGAGGAAGAATGAAGAGGCACACACTGCAAGATGCTTGAAGTCCAGTGTGAAGTTTCCACAGTCTGTGTTGATTTGGGGAGCCATGTCATCTGCTGGTGTTGGTCCACTGTACTTCATTAAGTCCAGGGTCAACGCAGCTGTCTACCAGGAGATTTTGGAGCACTTCATGCTTCCTTCTGCAGACGAGCTTTATGGGGATGCTGACTTCATTTTCCAGCAGGACTTGGCACCTGCCCACACTGCCAAAAGCACCAAAACCTGGTTCAATGACCGTGGGATTACTGTGCTTGATTGGTCAGCAAACTCGCCTGATCTGAACCCCATAGAGAATCTATGCGGCATTGCCAAGAGAAAGATGAGCGACATGAGACCGAACAATGCGAGCTGAAGGCCACTATTGAAGCATCCTGGTTTTCCATAACACCTCAGCAGTGCCACAGGCTGATAGCTTCCATGCCACGCCGCATTGAGGAAGTAATTGCTGCAAAAGGGGCCCAAACCAAGTACTGAGTACATATGCATGCTTATACTTTTCAGAGGTCCGATATTGTTCTATGTACAATCCTTGTTTTATTGATTGCATGTAATATTCTAATTTTCTGAGATTGTGGATTTGGGGTTTTCATGAACTGTAAGCCATAATCATTTCAACTATGACGAATAACGGCTTGAACTATCTTGCTTTGCATTAATGAGTCTATCTCATATATTAGTTTTACCTTTTAAGTTGCATTACTGAAATAAGTGAACTTTTGCACGATATTCTAATTTTTCGAGTTTCACCTGTATTTAGTCAGTATCCAGATAATTCTTCATCCTTCACCATCTGCCCCTGTGGAGGCAATAGCTTTCATGTGTATTAGGGGTGGGGTAGGTTATACTTTTTTCTAAAGTTGAAAACCCTAGCTGTTGTATCTGATAGCAACTTGGTTTTTGAAAGCATCTTTGTCATGCTCATTGGCCTTAATGGAATTCCCATCTAACAGCATGGCAGGACTGATTTTAACCTATCATCTGAAGCAGTGGCAAACCCTTTAAAATATATATTTTTTACAATTAAAACAAGAGAAGTTGTAGAAAAAGAAGAAAAAAGCAACTATATCTGTGGCTAGAAAAATGGAGTTTTGCATCCCCAAAGAATTTCCCCCTCTTTTCATTTTGGGAAAGATTGAAAAGAGACTGAATTAGATATCCCCTAGTTAAATTAATACAACATAATTTGCTCTTAGGCTTTGGTAAAACAGACTTAAGAACACAGTGCGAGTTATCATGACAAACAGTGTAGCAAGCTATTTTAAAAATAATCTATTCTTTTTATAATTTACAGGCAGTGCGTGGTGTCTTTGAAGAAATGAAATACCTAGAGCTCATGATTGTTAATGACTATAAAATGGTAAGTTGATTCTATTAGTTTTTTCTATACTTTTTCAAAAAATTTGATTGTGAAAAATGCATACATACTTAATGGTAATATAGATAATTATACTTTTGAATAAAGAATTAAGGAATGTGCACTGGGAAACTCTTGGAATAAGACTACTTTATGGGTATCATAGCAGCCAGGCTTGGATTACTTGATGCCTCTATATCCAGTGTTATTTCCAGAAATGCATCTAGGAAAGACCACAAAGTTTATTCATTTTGGTCCATTTATTTGTCTTTCTCAAGGCTTGGTTCAACATTACATCTGTCATGCAATTAAAATTATGTGAGGGGACTAGAAGGACCCCAGTCATCTTCTTTGCCTTCTCTATCCTGTCCTACATGACCTGTCTCCGTATCTCTGAGGGTTTCAGGGTTCAAAATGACTATTCTCTTCATGCAAGGGCCAGTCCTATCATTAATCAGGATGATACCTCATGTGAAACCAATGCATATAGCAGAGATTCCCTGTCTTAATAGCTACTTCTCAAATGTCTTAAAATGCTGGTATTAAGGCAGTACTGAGTTGAGGTAATCTAAGTTGATAAGACACTGAGATATGAATCAGGAAGTGCCTGATTACATTTTGTTTGACAATTATTCTAGGCAAGAAACTCACTTTCAGCCTCAGATTTCCATCTGCAATATGGGAATAATAATACTGATAAAAAAATTCTGTCAGGATTGCTGCAGTGTCTCTCTACAAGGTCAGAAATTTGATGATATTTGTACATGATGTTGGAAATGCATCATGTTTGCTTATAATCTGAGAGTACAATGTTTGGAAAGATCTGTTCTGGAATTTTTTGTCCAAAGATTAACAAAATATATTTCTAGATGAGGATCTATTCTTTTTTTTTTTTTTGTAAATTTTATTTGAGTTTTCACAAAAAAAATACAAATAAAACATCTTTTTTGAAAGTAGCGTAATCCCGGGTTACATTTCTTCGTACAGACACAAATTCAGGTTCATGCTCATTTTTATGTTCTATTCCATATCTTATTATTGTTTTACATTTTCTGCATAGCTTCTCCCCTCTTTTAATTTTCTCAATTTTATTTTAATTATCTCATCTCAATTCAAATCATTATATTTATATTTTTTGTCTGTCCTGTTTCAATTATCTATTATCTTTTCTCATTAAACAAAGTTTCTCCTGTAGTTACTGATTGGAGTATGACGCCTTTATATCTTTTAAGTTTATCCATTTAACTCTTATTTAGGCTTCAATATATACCCTAAAGTTATAACATTCAATATAATACATAACTTCCATTCGGATTCTGCTTGGTACATTCTTAAAATACACACTATATTCTTAAAAAAAGAAAAAAATATAAATATATGTAATTAAAATAACACATTCCATTCCAATTCAATTCTATCATTAATATTAATATTCATTAAAATCTTAACTTTTTTAACATTACTTTTCAATTAAATATCATACTTCTATGGGAACAATTATAAGCTTTTCATAATTAATTCCCCTCCCCTCTTCACTTATATTTTATAAAACATTAACTAATTAAAATGTTCCCATCCCTTCCTAATTCAATTTACTCATTTATTTTATTTCACTTATTTTATTAACAAACATTTCACTAAATTACACTATTTTATCCCTCATTTTAATCATACATTGTTTCCAATTTTCTAAAGTTATTTCTATTACTAATATAACAATACAATCTTATGTACCTTTACAGAATCCCTTTTTCAGTTAAATTTTCACCCATTATCTCTAAATAGGTCCTGTTTCTCTATATCTTGTTCCAGTCCTTGGTAACTTCTTTTCCTTTCCTTCTTTCCTCTCTTCTTCTCTCTCCCCTTTTTACCCCCTTGTCTCTCTACCTCTATTTCTGTATTCCCCTCTTCTGTTGCTTTCCAGTATTATACTTATTTTTCGAATTATTTTTTTTCCTTTGGTTTTAAAGTTTTAAAGTCTTAAATTCTCCATTCTCTTTCCCCCTTTCCTTTTTCTTCCCCACATAGAATTACTTGTTCATTAAAGATGGCTTCTTCTTTGTCCCAGTCTTCTTGTTTTGCAGACGTTTCTTGTTGTTTCTCATAGTTCCAAATCTCCATTTCTAAGAATTGAAAAATGAAGCCAAAAGAACCCCTCCCTTCTTGTGCATCTTCTTTATACTTTTTAAGTTCCATTTTCAATTCATCCAGAAGTAGTGCCATTGTATAAATTTTTAAACAACCACCCGATTAATTTTAGTCATTCAAATGCAACAACCAAGAATCCAAAGATCACTAAATAATCCAAATACATGCAAGCTGTTTCTTTTTGCTCTTTTTTTTCACTTTCTCTTCCTGGGGTTCTACTGTTTAGTTACAGAATTTCAGTTAAAATGTATCTTTTAGAAGTCTTGTTGAAGTTTTACTGTAGATTCTTTTTAATTCCAGGCAGTCTCCTCCCTCTTTCCAGATCCTGCCCTTTTATTCTTTTTCTCTCCTTTCCTGCTTATGAAAAAAATTTTAGTGTCCAGAAATCTTTATTATCCCTTTGACATTTTGTTTTATTTTCAGCTTAATTGCCTGTTGATGTCAAAGCGGATTTTTCCAATTTCTTATTTAAGTCTCTTAAGTTGTCAGTATAGGGAAAGGGAGAGAAGAAAAAAAAACCAAACCTTTCCCATTTCACTTTCCTTCGCTGCTTCCGACTCTTCTTTGGGAGCGATGTTATTTTTTTGTAAGTTTAAATTCCAGGGTACCTTAGTTGTTGCTTTTGCAATTTAACCCAGTCAGCCAAAACTTTTACTTCTTATCTTCCTCCTGCACATTCTTTTCCGGTCAAGTTCTTCTTTGGGGTGGCCATTTCTGACCACTGCTGCAACCGCTTTCGGGAAAGGGAGTAATGGCCAGCTGAGGAGGAGAGCCGCATCTCTCCTCAACCCTGCTGGCAGTCTCCCCCCTCTTCACCACCTCTACGGGGTGGCTTAGCCCTGAAACCAGCCAGCTCGGGGCGCTCCAGCGGTGAGCCCGGATCGAAACCACGCACGATCGTGGATTTCTGTCTGTCGCCGAAGGAACTCAAACCAGAAGCGCCCAGGATCTATTCTTTTCATTTGTTGTGTCCCAATGATTTTAAATGGATTGTTTAGATAGTTGCCAGGAGTCAAGACTGACCATGTATAAAAATAAGCTGTTAACAGGCTTCATTTATAAGAAGAGTTTATTATTTTTGTGAATAAAACTTTAATAGTAAACTTTCTGCAAGATACCCAGATATCTAGTTTTCTTTCTATTATTGCAAATTTAAGGCAGCTAAGTACAGTCTTTTTCAAAGAACATTTTGCACTTGAAATAAAAAATGCATTGAGTTATGTGCCACAGAAGGCTTGCAATCAATAATTCGAATTATAAGGGGAAGCTATTGCAAATATATGTTTTATGCTATTATTTGTGCAATTGACCTTTATCAATACAGTGCAAAAATGTTCAAAGAGAAATATTACTGGGGTTGCTTCTTTTTTAGGCTTTGCCAGGAAGCAATGAAGTTTAATTAATGTTTCAATTGGATTATGACTTAACATTTTTCTCCTAGTTCAAAAAACATCGGTCATCCCATAGTAATACGAATAACTTTGCGAAATCGGTGGTAAATCTCGTGGATGCTGTAAGTATTGCTATAGTCAATAAAATTAATAATACTGTATTCCGTTCAATGGGGAATGATAAAATGAAAAGGCAACATTTGTCTCATAATTCTTTTTATATTAAGAACAAAAACTAATTTACATCAGTAGCAGACTTGCCTGTCTATATCCCAATTTTTGTATTACCCAAAAGAAATACCAAAGTTTGTAGAACTACAAAAAAACTTTGAAAAGAATCCTTACTGTAGTGTAGCAAATGGTATTGCTTAAGTCATGTTGTCACCATGCAATGGACATAAATTCCACAATTTGTATCATTTGTGTGATATCTTGACATATATGATGTAATCATGGCTTCAGCCAGATGCCTGTGCTACCATTCACACATATGTACTAAAAAGAAACAAACCCTTTATCCTAGAAAGAAACATTCAGTATCCTCTGAGAATGCAGAGAAAAGAAATTCATGATTTTGAAAAATGATTTTCTTTGAGTTTTACAGAAGATATTCTTTCTTTTGTGAGGTTACAGAATCAGTTTCCTGTAATGTTATCCTGTGTAGCACCCTGCACTTGTAAGCTGCCAGTGCTAAAAATGAATAAATAAATCTTTGAAAAGGAAAAGACAGAATGCCAAGAAGAAACCCTATCAATGAACTCTTTGAAAAACTGCCTTACAATACTTCCACACAAGCTTTCTTTAGAGCTTGATAAATGCAGTGCATTGAATAAGCCATCTCACAATGCTAGATACTTTCCTTCCAGTGCAACAAACACTTCAGGTTTTTTTGTGCAGATAAAGACTTTCTAGATAAAAAAAATAGAATTATTTTGTGCATGTCCATTGTGCCCATTCTTGTCCTATTATGAAATGAGCCTGACAGAATGAAGATAGGGACAATTCTTTGAAAAAATGAAACCAAGGATTATTTGTTTAAATAGAAAATTTATCTGTGATGTTACCTTGTTGGGCAAAATACATAACTGGATCACAGGATATACTTACCTACCTATCTAATGGAGATTATGATTGCTCGAAATGCAATTTGAAGAATGAGTGAGTTTATTGAAAAGGTATTCATGAATTCAAGCATAAAAAAGCAAGAATTCTGTTTCCAGATGTTTGGAGTTACAACAAATTGTTGTTGTTCTGCTCACTTCAGGCACCCGTGTTCAGAATTATTAAATTTGAAGTGTTTAATTAAAACAAAAACAAAATCACACAGTCTGCCCATTGTCAACTGTTTTTATGATTTCCTACCACAAACTATATAGTAAATATTACATACTCATGTACTGATAATTATGCATATTGTAGTATTGACATTACTGTAAATTTAATGGAGTATTGATTATTAGGGAAGTATATTATCTAATTATATTCCAATGTTTCTCTCCTACTTTACCCTGTTTGTCTTTCCACTGATTGATTGGCTAACTGTGCATGTTTGACCCAGTGTTCCACTCCTGTGCTTGTCCTGTCTCTCCCCACAGATATACAAGGAGCAACTAAACACCAGAGTTGTTCTAGTTGCTGTTGAAACCTGGTCAGACAGAGATCGTATTCATGTCCATGCAGACCCAAGGCAGATGCTTCATGATTTTTCCCGATATCGACAGAACTTCATCAAGCAACATGCTGATGCTGTACATCTCCTCTCGTATGTAAAAAGAGGAGAGATGGTCTGGTCCACTGTTCTTCTTAAGAGGCTTAAGGATCTGTAGTCATTCCATCCTCAGGTGTTATTAATACAGCACCTCTTGACTCACCCAATGAATTATCAGGATTAGCCAAAATACTTTTAGAGCCACTTTTTCTGTTAGATATTATATTAGCCTTTTGGGGTTTCAAAACTAGAGCTTAATTGATCAGAACATTTTCCTTATTGTTTTGTGACTTGATTAACTGTACCAAAATTAAAATGGCTTTTCACAAGATTCCAAGAATTATTTCTATATAGTACAGAGATATATCTTATTCAGAAAAATGTTATCTCAATTAGGAAGCCTTTTTTCCAGGCAAGATATTTTACTGTATATTCTCTCACTTTTACATTTTTGCTTATTTATTTCTTCCTATGATGTCTTCTAAAATTGGAAATAAGTTACTTAACCCTAGCCAGTTTGGTGTAGTTATTAAAGTGCTGGCCTAGAAACTAAGAGACTATGAGTTCTAGTCTCATCTTGAGCACAAAAACTAACTGGGTGATTTGAGGCCAATTATTCTCTCAGCCCAACCCACCTCACAGGATTGTTATAAGGAAAATAGGAGGCAGGAGGAATATTGGGTATGTTCATCACCTTGAATTACTTATAAATAAAGTCAAGATTTAAAAAAAACTTCAAGGGCACTCGACATAGAATTACTATGAGTATCCAGTATATATCTATGAATATTCTACTTTAATGACATTAAAGAAACTAAATAAAACAAGCCCATGTTCTCATAATTTATATTATACTATTTCATTTGAAGAAAATGATATTAATATTCTTCTTTTATCTGTCTTGTTCTGAAGGAATGTGACATTTCATTATAAAAGAAGTAGCCTAAGCTATTTTGGAGGAATTTGTTCGGTGGCTAGAGGTGTTGGAGTAAATGAGGTAATAGTTCTGTTTTGAAGAAATGTATTTATTTATCCAATTCATAAAGTCTCATGAGTATATAAGAAGTCCTTGATTACTGACCATTCATTCAGGAACTATTCAAAGTTGCAATGATGTTGAACAAATGGTACTTGGCTGTTGCATTCCCCCATGACCCACATGATCATGTGATTGCAAAGTGGAAGCTTGGCAACCAGCTCACATGTACACATACAACTGTTGCAGTGTTCTAGGTCACGTGATTACCATTTGCAATCTTCCCTGCCACCTTTTCACAATCACGGCCAGTGCGAAATCTGGCAGGAATTCAGGAGTAACTTCCACACTAAGAAAGGATTTTTTGAAATGACCATCAGAGCATTAGTATTTCCTATATTATTATTAGCATGTTCCGATGCTAAGGAGTTCTACTCCCCCTCCCTACCTGAAAAGAAATCTCTTCCAAATGCAAAACACAAGCAGAGAAGTTTCTGTTTCTGTTTTACTTTCACAGCAGCCAACAGCTTTACTACATAACAGTTGAGCTAAGCCACACCCAGGCTCCTTGCTGTCTCCTTCTTGCTCACACAGCAAATACTGTTTGACTTTCCAAACAGTCCTCTGATGCTACTCTCCCTCCCCACCTGAAAAGAAATCTGTTCCAAATGCAAAACACAAGCAGAGAAGAGGAGTTTAGTTTCAGTTTTACAGTAGCAAACAGCTTTAGTACAGAACAGTTGAGCTAAGCCATGCCCAGGCTCCCTGCTGTTTCCTTCTTACTCACACAGCAAATACTGTTTGAGTTTCCAAACAGCCCTCAACTCTCTCACACACTGACAGGATGCTAGCCAGATGAATACCAATTGATGCTGGTAGGCAGAGGAAGATTCCCCCCCACCCTTTATTTTCTTCCTCAGTTCAGACAAATCCGTTCCTTCTACTGTAACATCAGTTAAAGGGAAACGAGGCAAAAAATGCAGAAAAAGATTTACAGATGTGATTAGGAAAACACAAGTAAGGGAAGCTACACACAAGTATCGTCAAAGTATCCCCATGTCAATAGACCGGCTGTAAAAAACTATATATCTAATAACCCCTACGTTCATCAGTTGTAAATGAGATCAATGCCTTGGACTAATAAGTATTTGTCTGGTTTTCAATATGAACCTCAGATTCATTATTCCAAAACTGAAACCTTGGTTATATTGTGCCTGGTCCCATGCTCTAAAGTGGCAGGATGAGAGTCCTGGGATGTGCTGCAGTAGCAGTAAAGTCCACCTCCCTCCCCTTCAGTCCTACCCTAAACCCTTACACAGCCTTCTCACCCACCAGCATCCAATGGAAAACCACTTTCTTTCTGCTGACCGGAAGTACAACGGATGCTTCCAAATGATGTCTTTTGGAGCCAGAGAGGTGAAGGAGGGAAATTTTATGCCAACATTCAAAGTGCAGGGGCAGGTCTAACATAGGATAGGGAGTATAATGGCAGGGCATCAGCAGCAGCCTTCATTTCTCCAGATATACTTTGTTGGTGACGATGACAATCTGAGAATCATCCGTTGTGAAATCTATCGATTCTATATATATATAAAAGCGAAATACCACTCACACATTATCACAAAATCTCCAGAACCATAAAGCCTACAAACTTGAAATTTGGCACATATGTTCCCTTTGGCTTCTAGGTGCTCGCTAACAAAGGATTTTTCAAAATGATCATCATTAGTATGTCCTATATTATTATTAACATGCTCTGATGCTAAGGCGTTCTACTCCCCCTCACCACCTGAAAAGAAATTTCTTCCAACTGCAGTTCAGCTAAATCAACCCAGGCTCCTTGCTGTCTCCTTCTTGCTCACACAGCAAATACTGTTTCAGTTTCCAAACAGCCCTCAACTCTCTCACACACTGACAGGATGTTAGCCAGATGAATACTGATGGATACTGGTAGGCAGAGGCAGATTTCCCTCCCTTATTTTCCTCCCAAAAAACTTGCCCAATCACATAGTTTTGTAGCAAAGCACGGGTACCCTGCTAGTTAGTAAGATATTTCCAGAGAAATGTTAGGATCCAGCTTAAGTCATGTACAAAAAAATATAATGTTTATTTATGGTCACTGACCAGAATTGCAAACAGAAACACTTTAAAAATAGACATAAAGTAAAATAAAACAAGATAAAAATGTCTACAACATTTTGTGATGGAAGTTTTATGTTAAACTTATAATAATTTGGATTTGCCTCTTTTTTCACCCTAATTTAATTGAGGTTGATCTTTCCCTAATAGTATGGGCTTTCCTGGGCAATAGCACAAGAATTGTCCCAAAGCTTGGCTCAGAATCTAGGAATACAGTGGGAACCAGCATCCAGAAAACCAAGTATGTGCCAAGTCTCCTGTTATCAAACTAAATGTTTGTATAGTTTTATATTCTCCAAATAGAGCTAATTATTTTGTTGTCTAAGAATCTTTTAAGTCAATTCAAGCAACTAGATTTCTCTGCACATGCATCATTTTTGGTCATGCATGCTCATGGAGACAACTTACCTATGTAGTCACTAGAAGTCAAAAATAATTTGATGGAACATAATCACTTAATCAATCGTGCATGTCTACACAGACATACAGCAGTGTCTTAACCTTTTCTTTGTTGAGAAGAGATTAGTTCACTCATTGCAGTCTTTCAGATGTGAATGTGGAATTCCTTTATACTTATCAGATATACTATTCAAAATGCAAAGATGTGAAGAGTGAAAATACTGTACTTACTGTATTTGTTCTCTACGGTGTATTTTGTTGTATATATTGTCAACTAATTTTATTCTCTCTCTCTCTCTCTCTCTCCCTTCCTCTCTCGTTTATGTCTTTTAAGAAGGGTGTGATTGTACAGAATCCTGGGGTGGATGCATCATGGAGGAAACAGGGTTTGTAGTGATAATTGATTCTTATACACAGTACAATTATTGTTTAAATTTTGCTCAGGCCAAATTTAAAAAATGATGTGGTTCATAAGAAGAAACATTTATTCATCTTATTGTTTTCTGTTACCATAGAGGGAAAATTATTTTAATCATTTTTTTAAACCTATACAAAAAAAACCTATGAATTTATTTTATAAATAATTGTTTGTAAAAAAAAGTCAAATAATTTCTGACTTTAAAGTCTTGCATGTTTTTCTTATTTTTTCATGACAAGAAATTAGAAAGGATCATAGAAAAAGTGTATAATTTTAAAAGTAAAAAAAACAAGTTTAAATAGAAATAGTGTTAGATCAATAACTTGTTTTTTCTCACTTGCTTGTAGTAGTGCATAATGCCTTATGCGACCATTTGTCTCTGTGTGATATTAATCACACTACATGGTCAAGTGAATTCAATTGAATATTGACTTGTTGTTTGATGAAAATTTCTAAATGTTAACTTGTGTATTCTCTATTCTGATTTGTTTAAACATAATGCAAAAATAAATAATAATTAGAACTTGAAAGTGAGCTGTTTCATTTCCTGAAAAATGGAGCTTCAGTAATAGATAAAAACAATTACACTAAAAATAGGGGGGAAAGGTAAGATTACTTTTCAAATCACAGACACCAAATTTTCTGTGACTTTTTAAAAAGAGCTCAGTGAAAGAGTTTCATATAATTGGAGGAGAAAAGTCATAGGTATAGATTAAAAATATAGTCCAAAACACAGAATATTCCATTTGTGGTTTGCCAGTTTGCGCAGAAAGATGTAGACAATTTTAATTTTTTTTCAAAGTGCCAAAAAAAAACTCTAAATAAAGATTACAAATATTTATGTGTGGTCAGAAAAGCATGCTTTCAGACAGGGAGTAAGATGCTTAATCCAGTTTGACTAAACATACTTGTCTGAAATAAAGTAGTCAAAAATTGAACTATTAATATCTGCCACAAAAGTATGCTACTGTACTGATCTATTTGCTTTCAAAAAAACCTAGATATTTCTTTATGGATGTGCTATGAACCATTTCTTTAATATTTTGCTATTGTTTTATTTCAGTGTCTATCACCCCAGAAAATTCTCAAAATGCAGCATTGCTGAATACAGAGATTTTTTACTCCGTGGAGGAGGTTTTTGTCTTTTCAACAGGCCTACAAAGGTGCATTCCTTATAATTTTTTCTAAGGAAGGTAGCAAACTGGATGATGGTACATTTTGAGTGGATTGGGATGGAAATGGAGGAAAGAAAGGGGAAAATGTCATCTCTTCTTGCCTACTACAGGTAGTTCTCAACATATGGCCACAATTGGGACCAGAACTTCTGTTACTAACTTCTGGTCACGTTAAGTGAGTCATGCCTGATGTTTGCTACAGTTGTTAAGCAAACGGGACTGTTGTTAAGCAAATCACATAATCATTAAGTGAATTCGGTTGCCCCTATTGACTTTGCATGGCAAAAGCTGCCTCAGAAAGTTGCAAATGGCAATTATTTCGCCCTGGGACACTGCAACTGTCATGACTGCAAGAATGCTGCAATGGTTGTAAGTGCAAGGAAATGATCATAAGTCACTTTTTTCAGTGCCATCATAACTCCAAATAGGCATTAAATAAATGTCATAAGTCAAAGACTACCTGTATCATTCCTGCTCTAACTTACATCAAGGTTTAGCATAATAACAGAAAAAAATAATAAATAATAAATTTCATTTGTATTTCAACGTACTTCAGGACCTTCTTCCTCACCTCAGGATTTTAACCTCATAACAACACTGTGGTTTAAGTTATAGTGAGATCCACAATTGAGTGAGAATTTGTGTGATCAATTTCATCTGTGATGATAGAATACAATAAATATCTATGATCGACAAATGTGTTAACATTGGTCAAGACCATTATGTGGCTTGTGATTTTGGCTTGCTCAATGTTTATGTATAATATAGACCAGGGGTCTGCAACCTTAAACACTCAAAGAGCCATTTGGACCCATTTCCCACAGAAAAGAAAACACCGGGAGCCACAAAACCTGGGTGGGCGTGGCCAACTCGACATTACTCACACCCACCCAGTCACACGACACCCCCAGCCATGCCTACCCAGGTTTTGTGGCTCCCGGTATTTTCTTTTCTTGGGAAACAGGTATCTCTGTATGTGTGTCTCTCTCTTTCTCTCATCTTTCTCTCTCTCCTCCCTCTCTCTGTTTCTCTCTCTCTCTCTCTGTTTCTCTCTCTCTCTCTCTCTCTCGTCTCTCTCTCTTTCTCATTCCCTGTCTCTTTCTCCCTCATCTCTCTTTTTTCTCTCTCATCTCTTTTCCCCTTTCTCTTTCTTTTTCTCTCTCTCTCTTTCTCTCTCACACTCCCTCTCTCATCTCTTTCTCCCTCTCCCTTCCTCTCTCATGCGTGTGTGTGTGTGTGTGTGTGTGTGTGTGTCTGTTCCCACTTGAACCATTTCCAAAAACAGGCGAGGGTTGGGTGTTGTCTTTTTTGCTGATGTTGTTCTTTCTTCTTCTTTGGGTGCTTTTTACCGTATGATTTAAATCAAGAGTCATTTCAGGTTCCCAGAAAAATGAAGCTCTTTTGTCCCCCTGCTGTAGCTCCCTGTCGGCTGAACCCATTGCCAACTCCATGGCCTGCTCGCTGCTCTTGCAGCGCCATGCACAGCACACTTAAATTTAGTGCACTTCACAATGGGGGAGACAGCATCCCCTCCTCCTCCTGGAGCCCATTACGATGTGGAGCATGGGCTATAGCCAGCCCAGCCAGTGTCTCGGGGTGGAGAAAGTCATGTGTCCCCCTGAGTGGCTGAGGTGCATGCAGCACCAATAAGAGCTGGAAGAAGAGGCAAGCATAAGACTGCTTTTCTCCTGCTCTGGAATACGGAGCAAGTTTCCATCCGCCGCCGTCACCCTTCCCTTCTCAGGGCAGGCGAGGAGTGAATGGGAGGGGAGGGTGAGGGGTGGTGCCAGCCACTGGTGAGATCATCTGACAGGGAGCCACAAGAGATGGCCCCAAAGAGCTGCATGCGGCTCTGGAGCATCACGTTGTCGAGCCCCGATGTAGAAACTATAGCTTATTCAAAAGCTCTAGTTTAAAAAAGCTAAGTGTTATGCTCCCTCCTTCCTTATGCATTGTAAGGATCTAAGAGTCACATGTAAACATCATCCTTTAAACCTATAACCTAATATCGTGATGGCGAACCTATGCCATGCATGCCAGCCATCACCTGTTGCTCTTCTGGGTTTCGGTGTGCTTCACATGTGTGGGAGTACCAGAAACTGGAAGAGCAGCTCCCTAGAGTGCATGCACGCACCGGCCAGCTGGTCTTTGCGCACATGGGAGCGCCAGAAACCAGAAGAGCAACTCCCTAGAGGGAGTCTTCGTGTACATGTGCATTAGAAACTGGAAGACCAGGTCGCCAGCACACATGTGTACACTGGGAAGCTAAGCTTTCAGTTTCCGGTGCTCCCATGCGCACACATCAAGGAGCTGCTCTTCTGGTTTCCGGTGCGTGCACATGCACACGCTCCCGTTTTGGTACTCATTGCTCAAAATGTTAGCCACCACTTACCTAAAGGATGAGGAATAAGTTGCTATCTCCTGTACTGTCCAAATTCCATGCCCATATTCTCTTTTGTGTTTGACTATGTCATAATGCTCCTCCTGTCAGTGGACAAATATTTCCCCATGGGAACTATAAAGCTCTCAAAATTGCAAATTGGCCTACTGATATAGACTTTGAATTAATGTTAGTATGATAGAATCCAGTTTTTTAATATTCCTAGCTAAAAAGAACAATCGTGAGAGGGATGATTAAAATCTCAGCCTTACAAAGCTGTTATTCACCTTTGTTCTAATCTATGCATTAAGATTAGTATCATTTAATGATGAGCTGTCTCTCAATTCAGTCAAATTCACAGTCTTTCATAAGTGAGAATAATACAGGATATAGGGTAAGAATATTGCCCTGGTGGTCTTACGTGTTACATATACTCACTTATCAGAAAAATTAACTTTGTAACCTATGTAAAACTGACCCAACTTACAATTATAACTAGGAAGTAGGAGGGTTTCCAGGAGTTATGCTTTATTCCCAAAGCACAAGATATCTTTGCTTTGGGTTCAAGAGCATTCACTGAACATACTTAACATGCAATACCCTCATCTTTGAGAAACCACTTAAATCAATAACTTCCTCTTTCAGCAGGTGCTTTAAGCTTTTAGAGGCATTCCTATTTTGGCATTCTTGAAAGTACTCCTGGCTTTGATGAGCTGCAGGAAAGAGAAAAAAATGGCTCTTCAGATTGGAAGTCAGTGTTATTTATTCAATAAATTAGATACAGTAAGGAAAAGAATCACAGAGGCAACTGAACCACGTTCCTAACTCCTTTTAAGATAGATATTACTATCTATACTCAACATCTAAAGAACAGAAAATGGCAGAGCCAAATAAATATGTGAGATGAACAAGTTCCAAGTCAGCAGTGCAGTTCCTCTGAAGTTTTGCTCTCTATTCAATTACTCCTGAGAAAAATCTCCAGCAGAAATCTGCTGTTCATTTTTTAATGACCAGCTTCAGAACAGTATTTCATAAGCATGTATACCTTAAATATATACCTGAATCTTTTAATGGTAGTTAGATAATAACATTTTTTCTTAAATGTGTGGGTTTTTTTTCCAGTTGTTTGATGCCACTGAATGTGGAAATGGGTATGTGGAACCAGGCGAAGACTGCGACTGTGGTATCCAAACGGTATTATTTTCACCTTAAAATGAAAGCTTTAAAGTAGATAATTACTGATAAGGTCCTGTTCATTTTCATGGGGCATAAAATAATAAAGATAGTGATGGAAGAGGTTTTTGACTTCTATTCCTGCTCCCACTCCCTTTGAGATCACCTGAGCAGGAGTGGAAATCATCAGAACTCTCATTTGGTGAGTTCTCTTTTGCTTGGTATAAAGCTGGGCAGAATGTATTTCTTTCCTAATTAATCGGAGCTATGTTTCTGATCTTAAGTTATATACATAAATATTTTAGCCTAGTGGCATGTCCCAATATTAAAATAATAATCTTGCAGTCTGGGCTGAGGGGATTCTGAGCCTTCAGAAAAATAATCAGTGTTTTAAATGTTATTTATTATATTAATTATTTTGGTTTGACATTCTATAATATATTTGGCACATAACATAACTTATTCTGGGTGGTTGTTGATATGATATTACAGGTAGTCCTCAACTTACAACCACAACTGAGCCCAAAATGTCTGTTGCTAAGTGAAACATTTGTTAAGTGAGTTTTGCCCCATTTTATGACCTGTCTTGTCACAATTGTTAAATGAATCATTGCAGTTGTTAGAATAGTAACATGATTGTTAATAGAACCTGTCTTCCTTATTGACTTTGCTTGTCAGAAAGTCACAAAAGGTGATCACCTGACCCCAGGACAGTGCAACCATTATAAATTTGAGTCAATTTTCAAGCAACTGAATTTTGATCGTGGGGATGCTGCAATGATAATACGTGTGAAAAATGGTCATAAATATTTTTTGGGTGCCATTTTAACTTCAAACGGTCACTAAACGAACTGTTGGAAGTCAAGGATTATCTGTATTCAGTACAGAGATTCAGTACTATCAATTTCAATCCCTGAGAGGTATGTTAGGTTGTGGCAAGGTACAATTCTAATAAATTAATAAATCAATAAATCTTAATAGGGAAACCTGTCATTGATTTTGCAAATGTGTATTTATAAGCAAGGAATCATATATACAAATGTAAACATCTATCTATGGAGCAGTACTTTCTAGGCTCTTTTTCCACTGTAACCACTGGTGCAATGTCACACTTTGTTCTGGAGGATCTTCTATCTCTTAACAATATATTCTAAAAGTGCACTGTAAGATCCTAGAGAAAGGACTCAGTCCTTCTCCATTTTGCAATAAAGTTCAATCAGCAGAAGTCGAATCACTGAATACTTTCATTCAACTTTTATCATTATTATTTATAATTAATATGTTACTGTCCAATAAAAGTTTGGAAACATATTGGCTCTTGGATCTGCTGATCAACATTGATTTGGCAAATTAAATTCCCAATCTCCCGTCATTTGGGCCTGAAAAGGTCCATTTTTTGTTTTCATTCTCGTTGCCAGATATTTTGAAACCAGGATGATCTACCAAGTGGTCTGGCTGCCAGCAGTTGCTAATTTGTTTAATTCACACTGTGGCATTATGCAGGGTGCACCACAAGGAAGCAAACTAGCTTCACACCCCACATCAAACTGTAAATCACATCATGACTGGCTGTAAGCTGAGGACATATAATGGTTCAATCTCTGATTTTTTTAAAAAATTTAAAACCATGCTGCGTTTAAATGGTTAGAAAGCTTAGACATTAGCATTTGAACATAAAACATATATTTTATTATGTTTTACTAATCTAGGTGGAATGCTAATGTATGTTGTAGTCCATGTATGATATGCCATATGCCAAATAAATAATCATCATTAATATACTGTATACTTTTTAAGGACTGCCATGCAGAATGCTGTAAAAAGTGTTCCCTTTCTAATGGAGCTCATTGCAGTGATGGTCCATGTTGTAATGACACCTGCCTTGTAAGTTATTTTAATTGCATCTTTACTAAGTGGCACTGAATTAGAAAATGTAATTCCATAAGATAAAAAAAAAAACCTAACTGAGCTACTATTAGGAATAAAGGCTCCTGGGCAGAGAGATACCACAACTTAACTGTTTCCCTGAAAATCATATCACCCCACCCCACCGGTTGCTTTTCTACCAATGAATGAAAATGATACTGTACTTGTATATGATTTTTTTCACCCAATTAAAAGGCTAATATTTTTTTTTTAAAGTCTTAAATGCTTGGTTGTTACTTGACTGTTTTTTAACTGAAAATATTTTGACTTTCAGTTTTTTCCACGAGGCTTTGAGTGTCGCTATGAAGTGAATGAATGTGATATTACTGAAATCTGTACTGGTGACTCCGGCCAGGTAATGACACAATGTATTTTGAATATATTAATATTGATTTATCAGTAAGGTGATCTCCTTCCCTTTCATTTGTATAACAATACTAAACTTTCACCTAGGACCAAAATTTGAATTTGAGAAAGGTGGGGAAAAAGATACCTTCTATGTCTAAAACCTAAGCTGTGCTGATATACATATTCCCAAATGATTTAGGATCCATATTTTTTTTTTTTAATTCTTGGGATTATGAATTCTTTTTAAAAAAATTTAATTTTTACATAACGTAAAAATTCAATTTCAATCAAGCAGTGTGTTGTCTGGGTACAATTATTTTTAATAAATCATAATCAAAATGTTTACAATAATATTCATCACACAAATATTAATTCTATAATAACGTTAATATTTTACTTATCTACTTTAACAAGTCTCCTTTATAACTTTAGTCCTTTTTATATCTCCATATTTCTAACTTCTGTTTTTTTATTATCTAACCATTGGTAAAATAATTCACCACCCAGCAATACCCTACATGAACAGAAAATGCAAATAAATTCTAAGGGATAATTCCACTGTTTTTAAAGTAAAGGAATACTTTGCCTTTCAGTGCCCACCCAATCTTCATAAGCAAGATGGATTTGCTTGCGATTCAAATCAGGTAAGTTAAAACAGAGCCTGCATGAGCTTAGCCTATATCAGGACAGTGTTTTTGGAAGTTGCGACACTCTCAATTTCACTTCACAGGGTGTCACTCAGGGATGCTCACAAAGGTTATAGAAGCAGGCTAGGTGGCTATTAAGGAAGGGATTTTTCCCCCAAACTGTCAGATATGTAAGAATGAATAAACAATTGTTCAGAAATTTTGGTTTAAAAATAAGGGGGGGGGGTGGCGAAATATGTAGCATATGGAGCCATAAAACCTAGTGCCATCAGGCACCTAAAATGTTATATTTCCTCCTTCTCCTCCTTCCTCTCCCACAGTTATGAGATATATGGCTTCTGGTCACTTTTTGCATATATATTTTTTAAACAAATTTTATTAATTTTCAAAGACAATACACAAACAAACAAAACATAAAACGTCTTTTCTGAAAGCTGCTTGATCCCGGGTTACATCTCTTCATACAGACACAAATTCAAATTCATGTTCATTTATATACCATTCCATATCTTATTACCATTTTCCATTTTCTATATAGCTTCTCACCTCTTTTAATTTTCTTAGTTTTATTTTATTTATCTCATCTCAATTCAGATCATTATGTTTATTATTCTTTGTTCTGTTTCCAGCTATCTATTTATCTTTTCTCTTTAAACAAAATTTCTCCTGTACACTAATTGAAGTATGACGCCTTTAACTCTTTCCCCTAAATTTATAACAGTTAGCATAGTACATAACTTCCATTGGGATTCTGTTTGGTACATTCTAAGGTTACACATTATGTTTTGAAAAAAGAAAAATTTATAAGTATGTAATATAATTAAAACAACAATCCATGTCAATTCGAATCTAATCATTAATATTAATATTCATGTAAATCTTAAACATTTTACACATTATTTTTCAATTGAATATCATACTTTTATGGGAACACTTGTACTTTCCATAGTTATTTCCCCCCCACTTCACATCACTTATATTTTAAATCATTGTATCATTAAAATGTTCCCATTTCCTCCTACTTCAATTTCTCTCATTTATTTCATTGCCTTCCCTTTATTCACAAAAATTTCACTAAGTTACACTGAATATTTTATCCCATTTTTTAATCACATGTTGTTTCCAATTTTCTAACATTATTTCTAAATGCAAATATAACAATACACTTTTATGTACCTTTTTGCATATTATTGATGCCTGTTGCATGCTGCCATTGTTGCGCACCACTGTCAGAAAGGCTTCAGCCTAGATCCTGCTTAAGTTATTAATACTTTTTACAGGGGTTTTCCCCTTCTTGCTTGATGGGTAATAATATTCTTTGGATGTTGTTTTCTTTTTTTGTTTTGATGGCTTATGCTGTTTTAAATGTTATTTGGTTATTAGCTACTTTAAGCTTTAAAATGCTTTCTTTAAATATAGGAACTATTTAAGTAACTAGTAATGCAAATTTCATGACTCTAGTTTACTTTTGCTATTTCCTTGTGTAATTATTCTATCCAATATAATTATTCTTTTCACTGAGTACTGCATGTGTTACGTCTTCTCAGCAGTTACTAGGATAATGCTCTAAGCTCTATTTGATATCCCCTGAGTTTACTTCATTATGCTGGGAATTCTATTCTGCAACTTTTACCTTCTTTCAAATTCTACTTTGCAACTTGGGATGTATAGTTTCAGGCTCGAGATAAAAAAGCAATGTAACTGCTTTTTGTTCACATATTTTAATGTCTCTTTATTAAAGAGGAAACTCTCAAATCTCCTAACTTGCCTGGAAGCAAAATATAAAGTTATACTAACATTTTATTAGCCTGGTGGGGGAAAAAAGATTTTGAGCATCCTAGCTATCTTGAAAGCAAAGCCAAGCAGTATTATTAGAAAATTTTTGGGCTCCCTGCTAGTAAAAAGGACAAGGCTCATGGCAATATCTGGCTTTTTATGGACAAAGTATGATGCTGACTACAATGTATTCCCATTTAGGGACGTTGCTATAGTGGGGAGTGTAAGACAAGAGATAATCAATGCAAATACATCTGGGGCAATAGTAAGTTAATTTATACAAAAATATTTCTTAGCATATTCTATCAGCTTTTTACTATGTTATGAATGAATTAAAAGGTAATGTTGTATAAAAATAATTTGTAAGGGCACTTTGGAATTTATATGTGCAGACTTAGTACTAATTCTCCCTACCCTATGTTGACATTTAAAAAGCTTCTCTCTCCTCTCCCTCTCCTTGTCTCTCTCCCTGTCTCTTTTGATCAATATATGTGATTTATATTATCCTCTATTGTCTGTGGGTGTTTCAGCATTTTGGGGAACAGGCCTTATTCTCAGAATCAGGATCAATGTAATTTGGTGTATCATGTTTGAAAAGAGGGGTGAGTGAATCTGAATGAAGAACTGTGTTGCCCTGCAGAAAGCTTCCACAGAGTTTTAGCAGAATCGGAGGATAAAATCTCTTCTCCTCCATAAAATATTCCCAAATAAGTCCCTCTTACCTACAAATTAAAAAAAATTAATTGCAAACATACAAGATTTACTAAGTTTTTTTTGTCCTTGACAAAAAGAAGTATCTTCCAGACCTTCTCATTGTATTAGGAAAATAACTCTATCTTTTGTTGTTGTTGTTTTTCTGCCTTCTTGTTCTTAATAGACAATATACAGTTTTTTTATAATCTTATATCCTAGACAGAAGCAGTAAATTTTTTAGGCATATGAAATTTTTGGGGGACATTCACTTTTTTAAAAAGGAAATCATATGATACATTACTACTGGTATTTGGTTCTTTGCTTTTAATTTATTTAAACATACAATAAGCAGTAAAACACTAAAAAGAAAAATAGGAAAAAAAACAAATTACAGAAAAGCAAAAACAAAATCATTTGGAAGAATATAGAAAATGTGTTGTCATCTTAGCAAGCGAGAGAAAACATTTTAAACATCCCTGTTATGTTCATAGTATATTATAGCTGTAGTAAAATTATTTATGGCATGATTAAACATTGGGAATAAAACCATTTTTAGCATTATTGGAAATGACCTTATTTTCTTCTACAGAGGCTTCAGGGTCTCACAAACACTGTTACGAGAAGCTTAATACAGAAGGTACACAGAAAGGAAACTGTGGAAAAGATGGAGACAAATGGATTCCTTGCCACAAGCAGTAAGAATGCTAGATTTAATTGTTTTTAAACTGACTTGATTGTTGGCCTAAAAGATACAGGAGCAGAATTTTTCACTTTATTACAGGGAACCTTGCTTCCCGCAGAAGGTACTACTGAACTTTTGGGAGTCTCACATAGCCTCAAAGATAACATGGGATACTGTATGATGACAACTGGGGGAACAGAGAAGCATTTTTACACTCATTCAAGGCACTTTTCAAATTCACATCATTTTCAGCTCAATAACGGCTTGAATAGTAACACTTTTCTCATTTGATATGTTATCCATATTTTTCAGGTTTCTAATGGCTTGTAGCCTGCCTTTATTTATTTATTTATCTATCTATCTATCTATCTATCTATCTATCTATCTATCCATTCATTCATTCATTTATTTATTTATTTATAGTGTTTAAATGTAATCTTTCATAAAGCATAGCAATGCTTGATAATTTTTAGCATTTGGACAACTTGCGTTCTAGAAGTGAATGCGTAGCGTGACTATTTCTCACAAAGTTTAGAATTAAATTCTTGAATGAAAGAAGAATTAAAATCATTTGGATTTCTGCTATAGTGCAGTCCAATTGTATTTTTCCCTAGAGGCAAGTTTCTTAATTTGTCAAAATAGTCTTTCTCTTCCCATTCCAAAAAAATAGCTTGTTATGTATCTTGTCTTTGTCTTACAGTGACGTGTTCTGTGGATTATTGCTTTGTGCAAATCTTGATGGGGTTCCACGAATTGGTCACCTTCAGGGAGAAATTATTCCAACTTCTTTTTTCCACCAAGGTGTTGTAGTGAACTGCAGGTATGTAAAATCTGATTCAGTGTGCAAGACTGGCTTTTTCAGTTTACCTAAAAATTTGAACATTCAAACAGATTGTTTCTCAATAAATTAAGTTAAAACAAAATTTAATTAGTTGAGTTTAATTTCTTATGATTTTTTTCATTGTACTGGCTTTGAATAGGTTGTTTAATACAGATGTAAAATTATTCTATTGTTACATTGAGATAATTTGAAATTCCATTGTTTCAATGTTGCCAAATTAATTTTCATTTTTCTTTTCTTTTAGTATGTTTCTTATTTAGACACACAAAATTGTCCAAAACAGCAAACATCCTTAAATAGAGTGAAAAAAATAATCATATTATTTTGCTTCCTGGATTTTCAGGAATTGGATTTTATTTATGCATGCTATAAATATTTTACATCTATTTATTCTGATGAAGTTTAATAATGCTAGTAACAATTTAAAACTTCTTCTTGTAGTTGTGCACATGTACTTTTAGATGATGAAACAGATTTAGGATATGTAGAAGATGGAACTCCCTGTGGTCCTAATATGATGTGTATGGACCGAAGATGCCTCTCTATTCAGTCCTTGAACATAAGCAGCTGTCCTATGGATGCTAATGGAAAAGTTTGTTCGGGACATGGGGTAAGTCCCAGGTCAGCAGAATACATGACAAACCATTTCATAGAAAAACATGTTTCTTACTTCTAATCTATACTGATATCTTTACACATGAAGACAGAAAGCATAAATTCCTGATAGGATGTACAATAACTTACCCTTTCATCTCATTAACTTTTATTAATTTAGCCATTCTTATTTTCTTCTACAACAGGACTGTCAAACTCACGGTCCACAGGCCAGATGCATCATGCACTGGCAACGCCCATGCCTGGTTTAGCGAAGGGGTGGGTAAAGTCCCAATACACCATCTTATGCCTCCATGATGATGCAAGTTTGACATCCCTGTTCTACTACTACTACTATTTACTCCTGGGGTTTTTATTACTACTGTTTATGCCTGGAATGGAACAACATTATTCTATAAAGACATAAAATAGAAATATTGTACAGAACCATAATTAACAGAGTTACATGCAGAACCCAGTTTGGCATACTTATGCAAAGGATTGTCCTCCATTGAAATACAGCTTTTTCTCTGGTAGCTATAATTCCCCCTCTTCCAGTGGTGGGATTCAAATAATTTAACAACCGGTTCTCTGCCCTAATGACCGGCTGGGTAGGTGTGGCTGGGTGGTCATGTGACTGGGTGGGTGTGGCCAGAGTGGGTGTGACATGGGACTCGTGTGGTGCTAAGGCAGGACTTCCCTGAGACCCTCACTCACTCTCATTATGCAGATAATCCTCTAGTTACAAATGTAATAGAGCCTGCCAATTACATTTGTAACTTGGGGATTTGTTTGATTGAATCACGTTAAATAAACGTGATCACTCCATGCTTTCCCCAATGCATTTGTTAATCGAATGCATAGGTCATTAAATGCACATGAGGTATCTAAGGCTGGGGAGCCTCCCCCAATCCACTGAGATACCTCATGCTGCCCACAATTGCTTCCCCCCATCCTGCTCTGCTGGGTCTCCACAGACTGGGCCTGCTTTGCTAGCATCCCAGATTCCACTTACTCCTCTCCATTCCATTTCCCATGGATTACTTACTTGAAGATCTCCAGAGGTCCAGAAGAGGCAGACCCACTGGCAGAGAAGCCAAAGTGTTTTATTCAGCTGATGGTAAAGCTGTAAAAATGTGAAATCTAAGGAAAACATTTTCACCATCTTCTGAGTAAAAGACTTTTGCTTAGGGCCATGTAGCCAGCAGGCCTCCTGCTTTAGGACAGCTTCAGGCATTGAGGTAGCAACAGCAGCCAATCAACGAGGAGCTTGCTTCCTTTGTCTTATTGGGCTGAACTGCAAGACCCTTGTTGATTGGCTGCCATACCCAATCCCTGAAGCTGCTCATTTGAACTAGCCAGTCAATAGCAAGCAGGTGGCTGCTACATGCTGGCCAACTGGGCTCAATCTAAGCCTGCAGACCCTCATGGCAGAGAAGCAGGTCTTCTATTCAGATGGGGAAAGCTGTTTTCCTTACATCTCACTTCTTACAGTTTCACCGGCTTCTGAATAAAAGACTTTGGCTTCTCTGCCATTTGGGTCTGCCTCTTCTGCAGGTCTCTGAAAAGTAAGTACAGTAAAGCCATGGGAAATGGGGTGGGGAGGAATAAATGGATTGGGCCCGTGGAGGCTCCGTTTCGGCCTGTAACAGGCCAGGGGAGACCTCTTGAGGCCCGAACAGAGTCTCGGAGGGCTGTATCAGGCCCATGGAGGCTCCATTTTGGCCTGTAACAGGCGGAGGCAGGCCTCTGGAGGCCCAAACGGGGCCTTGGAGGGCTGGATTGGGCCCATGGAAGCTCCATTTCGGCCTATAACAATGGGTTGAGGCTTCAGCTGGTTTGGCGCACTGAGCAAACAGTTATCAACCAGTTCAAGTGAACTGGTGTGAACCAGCTGAATCCCACCACTGCCTCCTTGCCTTCTGTGGGGCATAGATTGTACCTCTTGCGTGAACCTGATAACCTCTCCCCTTTCCATTCAATCATATCTGTTTCTTGAGACTGCCTGAAACACATCATTTTTCTTGACAAAGTTTTTCAGAAGTAGTTTGCCATTTCCTTCTTCTAGGGCTGAGAGAAAATGGCTAGCCCTAGGTCACCCAGCTTACTCTGTGCCCAAGGCAGGACTAGAATTCATGGTCTTTTAGTTTCAGGCCTGATGCTTTACTACTATGCCAAGCTGGCTCTTGATGTTTCCTTAGTAGCATGTAAGTGGTGCTTTTTTGTTGAAGAACTTGTTGAACTACCATCTCCTCTTCCTTTCCTAGTTAGAATATTCCCAGCTGCAGAATGGCAGCCATTCTGGTCACTTTTTGATACTCACACTGGGGTATCTAAAAGTATTGAGCCAGTGGGAAGTATATCAGTATCCTATTTCTTGAGACTGGGTCCAAATACTTGTGAAATGAGATGTTCGTGATGTTCTCTGAGCTTGGTTGTTTTCTTGCAAATGTTTTATTCCTTAAACTAGGTAACATTAATTAACTTCATTGAGCACTGATGACATTACCTGGTTTGAGTAATGAAAGATCTGCAAGAAAACGACCAAACTCAGAAAGCACCAAAGACTCCTCATTTCAATTGTGAACTATAAATATCAATATTTATGAAATATTATTGTGAGCCTTTGAGATTTGGGTGAACATATACATTTGATTTTTGTTGTTGTTATTACAATAAGATATTTTTGTTTCTTATGTGATTATCTGAATAGTTAATGGATTAATATTTCACTTAAAAACCACATTGAAATGTTACATTTTCTGATATGACAGAATGTTTTTCCTGAAATAATTTGTCTTTTTGCTTGTGAAAATATACAGTGATTCTTCAGGCTATGTACAGTCAAAAATACACAAAGCTGTGGAACAGTTTTGTTCACCTGGTTCCAGCTGTGATTTCAGAAAAATACAAATATTTTTTATTCTAGAATGAAAGCATTTTAACTTATAAGCTATTAATTGCTCATTGCTGTGTATTTCTATGCTAACTGGGCAATGTGTGCTTCTGAAGGAACACTGAGACAGATCAGATTATCCTATGTTGATGAGATGACTTTGTTCTGGTAGTTTATGGCCATCCAAAGTCATCAGTGCAGCATTTTCCAAACAGAAGCCCATCTCCTCTGTCTCCTCCAAGACACCATTTTAATGATACACTAACATATGCCAATTTTTTTTTTTAGGTGTGCAGTAATGAAGCCACTTGCATTTGTAGCACTACTTGGGCAGGTACAGATTGTAGCATGTTTGATCCTAGAAGGAAAGATGACTCAGAGAAACCAAGTGGACCAAAGGGTTTGTGTGATTTCAGTTCCTTTTACCACCATATAATTATATTATTAACAGGAACATTTGTAACAAAGCATTTGAAAACTATTAAACTATTACATATATTTTATTTCTTTGTATACAAGTTTTACATCTATGGTCAGGAGGTATTTCACAAAAAGCAATGATATGAAAATATTTTGAATTTTGTTATTTTTCTAAAATATAGAAAAATATATTATTATAATTAATCCTAATAATAATTCTACCTATTAGTCTGACAAAATGTCTAACATTTTAAATAGACTTTAATAATAAAGATTATATTTTTATATTTTAACACCTAAAAACCTTTATTAAAATAATGTATATATAGAAGTAATCTAATGTTCTTGGATATTTTCAGAGGTCATTTGTAGCACAGTTCTCTGCATATAGAACTCCTGTTGAATTTAGTTGGAGTGGAAGTCTATATAGAAAATAAAGCCTTGGATTACTTAACATGAACCTAATAAAAAGTTACAGGATATTAATATATATTTGTAAAATCCAAGTTACTTATTTTTTTTATATTTGCAACTTAATAGATTTTTTTTAACTGCAGCATGACTATTGATTTAAATATTCTGAATGCAAAAAAGCCTCTTTGAACCCACTATAGGATCCCAAATACACAATTTAAAATCTTATGTATTTTAATACATTTAGAACAAATGCTCAAATATGACTGAGTAGCAGTTTGCATTTTTAAACCGGGCATCATTTGAATACTTGAATGATTTTGAATTTTATTACTGTATTTTCATGCCCATTCTTAACTATCTAAGATGATAGAATCCATTTAATTCCACCATAAATCCATAAATTAGGTGGAAAGGAATATTGACTATAAGAATACAACCTACTGATAGTGGGGGACAGGGTTTCTAAATGGTGTTATACTCTGTATTCATCATTATACAGAAATTAATTCTGATAGACATATTACTTATATGGAGTTTTAATGCATTTAATATGTGTAAATTTTAGACTACCCTAATAAAAGAATGGAATGTTAGATTGTAAACATTTGAAAATTTCAAGAGGAGCAAAGCTAATATAAATGCTAGAAATTCATGAAATTATGTAAAACATTCATAAATGGCAAAAGGACAGAACTACAGAACCCCTGGGACTAGCTCTAGAAATAGGTGTTTAAGGCTTTACTGCGCCATTTTATAACAAAAAGCAAGCCTTAGTTGTAGCTTTTCTCTTCTCTCTCCAGCCTTATCCTTTTCCTAAATGAAAGCTTCAATAATAAAAGATACATACTCCATATTATGCAATTTAGGATTTGATTATCTCAAAGATTCCCATTTCTAGTGAGAGAAGAATTTCATTCCTCAAGATATAAAATTCACTGAAAATAAGTATTACTAAGGTTGTCCTTCTGTTACAATATTTTGATGATCCTTTCTTACTTCTAAAGAAAAATGCTTTGTGGAAAATAGAATTCTAATATGGGTCTGAAGGAAAATTTGGAAAATCTTTTGAAACTCCTTTGGATAAACCCAAACTTGATAAAAATAAGGGAAATGTAAGAGAAAAGGAGACATGAAGAGTAAATGGGAACAAACTGGTATTGAAAGAACATGTCTTTGCCTCCCAATTTTTCCCGTTCCTAGTTTTAATATTTCCTAATTTTGCATTTTGTTTACATAATGCAGATTATAATTTCAATTTGAAAATGAAAATTCTGCCAACATATTTATAGGGGAGTCTATAATCCTAGCCGTAATCTAATTTTAGTCATTAAAAGTCTGCAATATTTAAGAATATTCTTTTTCTAGCCAACCAACTAGTAACTATTTTAAAAACTCCACAACTAAAAATATTTTCAGTATTATACTTTTTCCTAAAAAAAGGTTTTCCTGATGCTCTGTAACTTTTAACATTCTCAAAGTGTAAAACTATTTCAGTTGGCTTTCAAAATACTGCTTTGCTTCGGTAAACCAATACGGGTAGTTCTTAACAACCCTTCATTTAGTAACTGTTTGAAGTTACAAAGCACTGAAAAAGTGACATGACTCTTTTTCATACTTACAATTGTTTCAGCACATCCCCACAGTCACATGATCAAAATTTGGATGCTTGGCAGTTGACTCATATTTAAGACGGTTGCAGTGTCCCGAGGTCATGTGTTCACCTTTTGCAACCTTCTGACAAGCAAAGTCACTGGGGAAACCAGATTCAGTTAACAATCTTGTTACTAATTTAACGTGCAGTAATTCACTTTACAACTGTGGCAAGAAGGGTCATATAATGGAAAAAACCTCTCTTAAGAACTGACTTGCTTAGCAACAGAAATTTTGGGTTCAATTGTGGTTATAAGTTGAGGATGCCTGTAGCTCTGAGATTTTTGTAAAACTTGAAAGCTGAAGAGAATCTTCATACTTTGCAAAAGTACTTATCACAAAACCATCTTGTTTTCACTGCATTTGCGTACTTCATTTCTTTCACTCCTTTTACATATTTCAGGTTCTAAAGTTAGACTCAGAGATAAACTTTGAAATGTAATATTAAGAATTAAAACTGCAAGATATTTTCATACAATCAATATTTAAATAACTTTTCCCAATAAAATAATTTCCAGGTGGATAGGATAATAAATCTCATTGTGAGTTTGCAGCTAGAGAGATATTGGGAATTTAAAATATAGTTTGGTATTTATTTAGTAAAATACAACTGACTTAGAGAGGCTTCGGTGGAGGGTATTTTAGCATTGGTGAGATTCTGTGAGATCTGGAGGAAGGCATCATCTGACATTTGGGCAAGACACCCTATATTGCAGTTTATCCCACAGAGAATGAAGCACATTTCTCACATTACTTTTCTTTTCTCAAACAAGGATATTCCATACATCAAAACCCAGAGCTTTCATGAAGATACTTTTGAACCTAATTCCTAAAGGAAATTGTAATCTCATAAAAAGTTAGGATGAACCTCAGTTGAATATTGATATGTATTTATCTATATATATATAAAAGCGAAATATCACTCACGCACCATCACAAAATCTCCAGAACCATAAAGCCTACAAATTTGAAATTTGACACATATATTCCTCTTGGCTTCTAGGTGTTCATCAAGAAAGGATTTTTCGAAATGACCATCAGAACATTAGTATTTCCTATATTATTATTAACACGCTCTGATGCTAAGGAGTTCTACTCCTCCTCCCCACCTGAAAAGAAATCTCTTCCAAATGCAAAACACAAGCAGAGGAGAGGAGTTTCAGTTTTAGTTTCACAGCACCAAGCAGCTTTAGTACAGAACAATTGAGCTAAACCAAGCCCAGGGTCCTTTCTATCTCCTTCTTCCTCACACAGCAAATACTGTGTTTCAGTTTCCAAACAGCCCTCAACTCTCTCACACACTGACAGGACACTAGCCAGATGAGTACTGATGGATGCTGGTAGGCAGAGGCAGAATTTCTTCCCCTTATTTTCCTCCCGAAAAACTAAACCCAACCACATAGTTTCGTAGCGAAGCATGGGATTGACAACCAACAATCTTTATTATTCTGGTTAATAGATTATAAAATTTCTCTTTCTTTTTGTTAATCCTATGTAGTTGCCAGTTAGAATATAGCAGTTGTTTTATTAGAGATCGTGCATAAATGTAAGGCTAGATTGGAAAGGAAATCCATTTTTATGTGGAGTTAAAATTTTAGATATTAGAAACAGTTAAAAGTCTTTTGCGTTTATGTGTTTCTAATTGGGAAAGAAAATCCAATGTTATGGAACCTGCCAGTCTTAGTTTTGAAGAATAAGGACAGATTCAGGTTACACCAGAATAAATGAATTTTGTGTTGAACATGACACATTAATAAAAGATTTATGTCTCATCATTAATAAATGTACATAACCATTAGCAGGGACTCACTTAATGTATGAAATGTTAGGTTTGGTGAACAGGCAGCCATCCGGGATCCTCTGCTTGCCCAGCCAAACTATAGATGAACAGTTTGAATGATGTCGATTAGGAACTACCGTGTTTCTCCAACAATACAGCCTCCCCCAATAGGAAGTCCCAGCATATTTTATAGGCATAAAATGAAATTAAGACCCTCCCCCCAAATTAAAGCCTATATTAAACAGGCGAAATGGGAATGGCGGGGGGGCTTGCCGTTAGGAAGTACTTTTGTTGCATACCTGGATATGGTGCTGCCTGCATTGACCTCGGCGTTGGTGGGGCACTTCGTATCGGGAGACCTTCCACCACCGTTGCTTTCCCTTCTCCCCATGCTGCTGCAACGTTTAGAGCAACGCCGTGGCATTTGGCGCAGCCACGTGGTGTTTGGCGCAGCCACGTGTGGCCAGCCAGGGCTCCTCCCTGCAACTGGAGCCCGGCGGCGACACTCAGCTTCAGGCGCTTCTGTCGCCGCCGTCCCAGGCATCGTTCAAAGGCAAAGCCTATTCTTTTAAAAACGATGCCCTACTACCGGTATGACAAAGCCTCCCCTGCCCAAGAGGGCAGCCCAACCCCATGTGGGGAGGCAAATCTCCCGGGGCCGCAGCGCAGGATCAGCCCACCCCGGGAGAAGTGCCCAGCTGCCATCCCTGCCTGGCGCCAGGCACAGCGCAAAGAGCTTCGCCTGGGGCGCCCAGCTCAGCTTACAGGCGGGCCCTCCTGCCCGGCAGTGGAGCTCTCACTAAGGCAGTGAGCACCTCCCCGCTGTGCCCTCTGCTCATCCCACCAGGGCCGCGCTGGAGCCGGGCGGGCTGGGCAGAGCCGGGAAAGTGAGCCGCGGGTGCGTGCCCGCCTGCCAAGCGAAAGAGCCAGGCTGACCCGAGCTTGGCTTCCTTCCCAAGTCCCTCCAGCCCGAACCCGAAGGGGCCACCGGGAGAGGCTGCCCGAGGCAGTGATAGCGCCCACCCGTCCACAGACAGGGAGGCGAGGCGACGGCAGCACTGCTTCCCTGGCCAGCAGGTCCAGCGGAGAGAGCCCGAAGCTGCCCGTCCTTTCCACCCCTCGCCCAGCCCATC